GTTTTGTAATTATTTTCCGCCAAACGACGTAATATTTTGGAAGGTGTTTTAATTGTAACTTACAAGTTACAAACATTGTGCACGTCATGTGAAAATACCACAGAGATCCGTTATAGTGTTGTGTGTGGAGTATCATGAAAATCAAGATTTTGTTGTATAGCACGTGCATGTAATGCTCCAACAACATATAACACAGTCGATTGAGGTTGTTAGTGGTCTACCTGTAAGACCGAGTGTGACGACCCCGTAAGATTACCCTGCCTCCATCTGTGCAGCTGGAATGATGTATTCAACTACAATAAAAGAGGTGAGGTGAGGTGAGGTGAGGTGAGGTGAGGTGAGGTGAGGTGAGGTGATGTATTGAACTTGAGGTGAGTGAGGTGAGGTGAGGTGAGTTGAGTTGAGTTGAGTTGAGTTGAGTTGAGTTGAGTTGAGTTGAGTTGAGGTGAGGTGAGGTGAGGTGAGGTGAGGTGAGGTGAGGTGAGGTGAGATGGCGATTAACGTCGCGTCGAGTGGGTGTCTGCTTGCACTAACCCATATCTAAGCTTTTTTGTAAACTACTCTATCGCAGTTTGCTATGGACACCTCGATAAGATAAATCATTGTTTTTTCCCTTCATGCCGAACCCAAGGCAAGGTAACAACAAGTACTCCGGTATAATCTTTTGCCATGATGCGCATCCGATCACAAACTATATTTTTCAAGAATTTCTGGAATTAAATACCCATGCCAGAAGATGACATTCATTCCTCTTTTGTTCAATATTAACTGTAAAACCCAAAGTAAAAACGAACCAGCATAACTGCATGCCGACATTGACAATCATAAAGATGTCACAGAGAATAACATGTACAATGGACGGGTCATGGTAGTTCGGGGTGTAATGATATTGGATATTACAGATGTTTATATCATTGGCTGTAAATGCATTATCGTTAACAACGTGTTACACGGAGAGCCAAATACGATTTTGTTTTCATACGGCAGAATTTCTGCACTGGCCAATAGTGTATTTCATTAATAACAACCATTTGATGATGGTGCAATACCTCGCTATTACCCCAACGATTCAGCTTTTACTGTCCTTGTAAACAGGTTAGTGTGGTTGGTTGTTGTTTTACGCCGCACTCAGCAATATTCCAGTCATATGGCGGCGGTCTGTAAATAATCGAGTCTGGACCAGACAATCCAGTGATCAACAGCATGAGCATCGATATACGCAATTGGGATACGATGACATGTGTCAACGAAGTCGATCCCGTTTGTCGCCTCTTTCGACAAGCATGGGTTGCTGAAGACCAGCTCCCCTTTTGTTTTGAAATTTTTGTAAACAAAAACATGGCTGAAGGAGGAATGCATGGCATGTTTATCAGGAACTGATGTGCTGTTTCTGTAGATGTGTTGCCTTGTATAGTCCACGCAGACCGTATACCAAGCGCATAGTTTCCCCATAAACAAACATCAACAGTTCATAGTGTTTGTGAACTAAAATAATTCAACACGTTCTGTCCAACACATTTCTGTGACGCTTCAGCCAGTCTGTCAAACGAACCACCCTATTTTGAAAATAAGATGTGATGCTACAGAAAAGTTATGGTATAGCCATCAATTTAATCAACCTGTAGTTAAATAAGCTTTAGTCACTGACAGTTTTACAAATACCATAACCTTTTCTATTCTTTATGAAAGAATATGTTGATGAAAATGTGATGGGACTGAATTTTTACCCAAAATAACTATTCCTCTCCTGCTCAAACTACACAATTAAATTAAGTTTTGACTCAAAATAACAATTCTGGTATATATGCCAAGATGGCATTTACACATCAAGTAAGCTTTAATTATGCATAATCATGAAGAACCCGAATGTCAAAGATTCTGACCTTTTCCCAACAATTCAGATTCCTAAATGACAAAAACTGAAAAAGGACACATTAATAAGATTTTGGAATAATTTTATTTTATGATTTTGAGATCATTGTAATGAATAAACACTTATCCTTGCCAGATACTGATAATTACAGCTAAAATCTGTTTGTTTTGTTCGTAAAGCAACTTTTACTGCATTTTAAAATTTTCCTCTTTTTTAGTTTGACTGTAACTTTTCCTAAATCTTAGTCTACAAACTTTCATCCATTCGCAATAAATAACGAATTTATAGGCCACACAACAATCACTTATTACTTTCACTTTTCAAAATAAGGTAACTTGTTTTAGGACAGAAATATAGGCAATTATCCTAATTAAAATACATGGTAATTGCAATGATGTTTTCGTTTTTAAAATGTTAAATGCTTGCTCTATCAAATTATGAAGGTTATTTTTTTTAAAGAGTTTAGAATTTCAGACAAAATTAATTGGTAAATATATAGGGTGGTGCTTAAATTATGCACAGATGTATAGATTAAGTTGAATATTCTATGAAACGTTTCTTATTGTTGGTTGGTTTGTTGTTAACGCCGCACTCAGCAATATTCCAACAATATTGGTCTGTAAATAATCGAGTCTGGATCCAGTGATAATCAGCATGAGCATCGATCAGCGAGCCTGACCACCCGATCCCGTTAGTCGCCTCTTACGACAAGCATGGGTTGCCGAAGACCAATTATCACTTCACAGGTAAAAAGTTATAAACGTTTCTTGAACCATGGATAGCTTGTTGTAATCGGTCATGAAAGAATAAACGTGGATATGTTTATTCAAATAGCGATGTGTGTTCGTACATTCGAAAAGAAATCCTCACAAATACATATCAACCAAACGAAGATCCTGAAAAGAATGATCTTCAGCTGTCAGGCGTGTCGTAAGAGGCATCTGACAACTAACTAACGACTTTTCCTCGTCACGATATGGCTGGAATATTGCAGACGTGACGTTAAAGATGAACTCCGTCATTCACTCGTTACGTTTCTAATAATTAAATTTCCATTCAAGTCGCACGATGTTCCTGTAGCCCCAGTCTGTCTATATTTCACAACTATGCAGAAGTTGTCTCCCTTAGCTGTACCGCGATCCGCTTGTCGGGCCAAAATGCAGATCGTCCCAGTTTAGGAGCATACCCATGCTCCTTGGTCTAACAGTAAACTTTCCCTTTAATTCAAATAATATTCCGATAGGGCCAGCCTGTCTACATTTAAAAGCATGGGAGTACGGGCTCTTAAAGCTTTCTACGTACAAGAAGATTTCAAAGAATGTCATACAACTCAGAATTTGTTTGATCAAGGTTTGATGCCTCTGTTAAACTTTCAAAACGTTTTATGGCAAACATGTGGAGGACATTTCAAAGTACCAGGGGCAAAAATGGTGTCCTGTGCAATGCTTTATATTGACTTGCACCATATCTTTCTGTGTTTTTCTCAGAAGAACAATTAACTTGCCTTTGCATGTGTTTGTGACAGATGCACTGGATGAACAGGATACGTTCACCTTGCGAACACCTTGTATCATCACGTTTTGAAAGCGATTCATAAACATTAGGTTTCTAATGAACATGGAAAAAAGGTTTTGTCGCTTTTATCAACATCAATGGCAGGACGATGACCTTGACGTACTTGATATAAACTTTGATATAAACTACATAAACATTATTTCTGTTGTTTCAGATCGATAGAACAGCCTGCCGGCAAGATGCATGCTTAATATTTAAATATCAAGATCAATTATCGATAAATAATTCAAATTTAAATGTTTATTGCATGAAATTAATATAATGGGTTCATATACATGAAGTACATGCGGCACAGTGCAGGATCATTGTCACAACAGATTCACATTTCATTTCGATCCGTTTCTGCTCTTTAAGTGATACTTGAAATATCCCATAACACATTTTAAGTCCTCTGGTTGCTGGTTGCCACGAGGTAAAAACATTGTTGTACTGAAGGTCGAATGAATCATTTATTTCTCATGCATGGCTTTCGAATGCTCTTTTAGGATGGCCAAATAAGAGTAAATGGCACAGGTCTTAGATATTGTTTAAATTACAATACATACATACTCTTTCAGTTCTATACTTCCAGTCGGTTGCAAATACACACAAAGTCGAATCTATTAATCATTACCCTGCTCCTGGGATAATCTAAAAACGTGTATAGCATTGTGCTCTTTGCTAATGTATCTGTCCATTCGTGTGTGTACATATCTTTTAGTCTGACTTCTTTGAGTGGAATTTGAAAGTTGGGAAGTACAATATTGACAAACTTTATGAATACCATCTTTTATTTCATGAGTGCGGCGTTTCGATGCATATTTTTGTGCTGTTGTCAAGGTTACCAAGAAATAAAAGAAGTTGACATTCTTGACAAAGGTATAAACATCTGTATCGAAACGTCGCCCCGCTTTGGCAGCAGCATACCTGTGCCCATTGGTTTCACAATATTGCAAACATTTAACACCCGTACCACCTTCCTATCACCAGGGGGCGGTGGGGTAGCCTAGTGGTTAAAGCGTTCTCTTGTCATGCCGAAGACCCAGGTTCGATTCCCCACATGAGTACCATGTGTGAAGCCCATTTCTGGTGTCCCCCGCCGTGATGTTACTAGAACATTTGTAAAGCGGCGTAAAACCATACTCACTCACTCACTCATATCACAGTGTCAGTTTGAGCTTTCCTCTAAGGATTATGTCCACTCACTCACTCACTCACTCAGTGATTCACTCACTCACTCACCAGTGTCAGTTTGAACTTTTCTCCAAAGATAATGCCGGTCGAGTATATACCCTAGTCACCGACCAGTAAGAATAGTGTCCTCCAGAGGTTCCCCAATGCTGTTTGTCTAACGTGAAACTCAAGTGAACGAAAAACAACAGAATACCATTTTGTTTCTATAACAACATACAATAATGTATTGCTCTGTAAACATTTGAGGGTCATGTAGCACAAGGAAACTGATGAAGACTACAAGAAACAGAATAATCAATATCGTGATGTGAAGGTCATTGTAATACTTCATTTACATAACGGGTGATGGGATGGGAATTTACATGTCAACGCTGAATCTTCAATGAGGTGTTGAGTTTGATCGTTAGCGATGTCGATGGTGAGTTAGATTATTGATGCAGAGTTGAGAGTATACTCAGACAAGGCTGTTACTTTGTTTTGCTTAAATTATCTCTTAATGGTATTGCCTTCGGCTGCACATTGAACTTCAAGAGGTGCTGCAAATGAACGTAGAGGTGATGGAGTCCAGGGAGGAAGGTAAAAGAAGACATTTTACTCTGGGCGTTTTGGAATGTTTCCAGCTGAGGACAGAATGTCTGGAGCTGCAATAACATGTGCCGTCTTCATTTGCCTCCTACAGGGGATGCAAAGTGTTACAGGTAAGGCGTTTCTACTGCTGTTCACCTTTTCTATTGCCCAAGACCATAAGTGGGCTGTTACCTGAAAACTAAAGTTTCAATGCATTTTGAGCTTTTACTGTGAACATAATTGTACTGTGTGATGGTACCCGTTAAGATTTGGGTCCCAATTGGTGGTCAGCAAACCCTGCTTAAAAGTCGTAAAAGTTGTAAATCACAACCCATCAACTTACCGTGTGTAACATACAACCATCCACCCACCCTACCCGTCTTTAGAATTGGTATTCAGAAACCCCTGCTTGTCGTAAGAGGCGGCTAACGGGATCGGATGGTCAGGCTCGCTGAGTTGGTTGACTCATATCATCGTATCCCGTTTGTGTAGATCGATGCTTATGCTGTTGATCACCGGTTTGTCAAAATACTGCCCCCTCCTCCTCAGACACACACACATATACCCATGATGATAATAATGATCAAGTGTTCGGTAAGGTTGAGGACACAGAAAAACCTTGTGCAAGATAAACTACATGGTTTGGTTGTGACTTTCATCTGAGCAAGTATATTGTTGGTTCATAATATTATCGTTGAGATGGGCATTGTACTTCATTTCGATTATTATATAGTATTCTTGAATGGCTTATTTGCAATCTTTCCTACAGAGGCACCATACATTACATTCTTAGAGGTTACTTGTCATATCTTCCTACGAACCTCTGTTCTAATACGGCCATTTCATGGTGCGAGTGTTCAGGATTCGTGATCGGTTGCAATCAGATTTAGTTGTGCAGTCAGATTTAGTTGTGCAATCAGCGACGTTGTTTCAAAAGTGATCTTGCTTCAGGAAAACTAGAACCTCTTCCCCAGCGCGATGCGTAAACGTTTCTTCTAGACAGAATTCAGTCATGTAATGGAGGATGAATGGCGTCTCCATCGCCCTCGTTGACCATGGACAAACTAGCCAGTAAATGTCTTGTGTATCAAATCAACGCAGGTCCCCGGCAGAGGAGGGATATTTGTGGCCCCACATTTGCTTGTATTAGCCATTTTTGTGGAAGCCGCGGTATCTGAGCGGTCTAGGCGTCTGACTTTGTGTGCTGGCGATTAGGTGCCTGACTCTGAGGGTGTGGGTTCGAATCCCGGATGGGAATCAACCCCAAAAGTACTTGAATCTGTACGTTACTAAGAAAGTGTAATCCCAAATATAACATATGTTACATTTGACCACTTTCTAAAATGGCATTGTGTATTTCATGTATTAGTCAAGTTGGATCTAAGTCGATGTAACACGTGTTCTGATTGGATAGAAAGACCGGATGTGGATTAAAAAATATGGCTGTGGGAAGAGAGTCTCGTAGGAATGCCATACATGTATAATGGGAAGAGAATGCAATACATGTATAATAGCGAACGTCATTCTAGTGCATTTGGACATTAATATGAAAAGGGTCACTGATCTATAGCTTGTTATAGTCTGGTTTTGTCAAAAAAGTATCCCAGCCGTGCAAGCATTTTCGGATTTCTCATGCGTGGATCATATGATTGGTTTGGATCCCATTTCTGTGTTTTCTGATTTGATATTTACTCATGTGATGTAAATGGACCTGTACTTTAAAAACACACTTTTGAGTTATTTCACGCCTTAAACTAAGTAAACTCCATTTTGCAGTACAGAACTTTATTTCGTTCAGCCCGATATACACGGCATGTGAGATATTAATGCACATTGCAGAACACAAATAATGTTCACAGGATGGCCACCCGTGAAGATCCGGGTTAGAATTGATCTTCAGTAACCCATGCTTGTCGTAAGAGGCGACTGACGGGATAGGCTGGTCATGCTCGCTTGACTTGGTTGACATATGTCATAGTGTCCAAATTGCATAGATTGATACTCGTGCTGTTGATCACTGGATAGCCTGGTCCAGACTCGATTATTTACGGACCGCCCCCATATAGCTGGAGTATTGCTGGAGTTCGATTGGCGGCAATCCGTTTCCAGGCAAAGGCGAATGACAAATTCAAACACAACGTTCGCTTTTGTATAGTGATCGATATCGCTTTCTTTTCCGCTTTCTTTGCATTTTGCTTTGCATGTTTTCTTGGTGACGTTTAGGCGAATATTTCTTCAAACGCTTCTGAAATAAGGGAAAAAGTTAAAATTGCCACGTTTTGGCGCTGTTTACAATCACACAAAGATGGAAAGAAATATTACAATTGTATTGTTTTTGCCGCAGCTACAGAGACGTGCAAAAGTATTCGGACACTTGACTAATTCCCATAGACTTACATGTTAATTTAGTGAGCATAAATATTTCCCTTGAATTTACTTTCGTAAGATCCAAGTCAAATTTTGCACATTTTGAGGAATCATCTTACCTACAATCACATAATTTCTGTTTAATTTTCCGTTGCATATTTATCGAATGGCATCAATTTAATCAACATGTGTACAGTGCCGCGAACTCCTTTAACATGGCGGCCTATGGGATTGTGCATTGTGGAACCATACGTAAGTATGTGATGTCATTAGTTAAATAGTGTTCGGAGAATACAACTGACATTATGTGCGCAGAGCAGAGATGATTTCAAATTTGCCTGTCAAATTTGACAAGGATCCATCCCAAACTCACTTCATGAAAATTATTTATACTACACTGATATAACATGTAAGTCTATGGAAATGACGTCAAGTGTCCGAATAACTTTTGCACAACTCTGTACATGAGTCCAATTTCTCAGAATCACCTATGCGCTTCTTTGTTTTTGGGAGAGTGTATATTTTACATTATTAGATTGTTAAATGATACGTGAGACGGAACAGCTGCAGATGGAAGGGTATTGTTCTTTACGTCTTTATGTAGATATTGATGGATACATTCCTCGGAGAAGGAAACTGACTGATATTATTGATGTATCTCTTGCCGATTGCAATTTACAATATTTACATTTATTCCATTCATTTGTTGAAGCATTGGACAGTATGTGTATATAAATTCAATAAAAACAGATCGACTGAATTTTTTAAGCTCCAAAGTTAGTAAAAACATTATCATAGATCAATTACGCCAATTATTTAATTAAGATAAAATTAACACAAGTACCTTGTTTTCTGTTTGCTTTCAGTCGTAACACTTTTAGTAAGTGGGAGATAAAATTAAACTTCAAAATGTTGTGAATTGCTGTCATAATAACGTATATTGACATATTTTGAAGCCAGTTTGTAACCACTGAATTATTAAGGTTTAAAAAATGACTATGACGTGTCCCAATTAATTCCAAGAATACATCTTTGTTGATCAGCGTGATCACACGCCCTTATACTATTACTGGTGGAACCCGTAAATATTCGAGTTAAAATTGGTCTTCGTTAACCCATTATTGTCGTAAGAGGCGACTAACGGGATCGGGTGGTCAGGCTCGCTGACTTGGTTGACACATGTGGTCGTATCCCAAAGATCGGTGTTGATGCTGTTGATCACTGGATTGTATGGTCCAGACTCGATTATTTACAGACCGCCGCCATATAGCTGGAATATTGCTGAGTGCGGCGTAAAACAAGAAACCAACTCACTAACTCACACTTCAGTTTGCTGCGTATAGCATTTATGGTCGAATTTCCAAACTGTATTAAGGCTAGAAGTTATGCTTTTCCTCACTTACTTCCAACACAAATAATCTCCGGTGACAATCATTACTACGTCTTCGTCACACATGTGTATTGTATGTTTCAGGTCATTCACAAATCAAGCATATGTTTATATATTTTTCTTTAGCATCATACTAATAAATATTAGATCTACAAGTTTTTGAAATAATATCTGTGAATACACAATGCCATTTAGAAAGTGGTCAAATGTAACATATGTTATATTTGGGATTACACTTTCTTAGTAAAGTACAGATTCTAGTACTTTTGTGTGTTTGTCGAGAGAAAGTTATTGTGTGAATTGTTGAAGGTACAGATTGAAGGTTACCGTCGTAAGAGATATTGCTTTGTACAGCTTACCCTTTCATGATGAAAATGGAATGTTTCTGGTGTGATCGGTGTCATCACTGATGTTCAGAGTGAGACATACACAAGTTTTATCACTATATAATATTATAAGTTATTCACTGGTCTCGAGGGAAACATGGGCTGATGTACCCTCGATGTATGTTTATGTTCCCTGAACCCGAAGGCGATGGGAACATAAAGAAACATCGAGTGTACATCAACCCATGGGCCCCGAGGGACTAGTGACGAACGTATTTCTCTTACCGAACACCTCAATGGTAATATTGAACTGTTTGAAGCACGGGTATCAGATCATTGTATTGAATACCAGACGACAAGACGACTGGCTAAGATACATAGCGTCGACTGACATGAACTCAGTGAACGCTATCTATCTTTGCTACAAGACGACAAGAAAAACAAATTTAGAGTTATCTCCCTTTCATCGATTTGCATTCGCAAAACATCGGTAATTTCCGTAGATCATACGTGATTCAATGTTATTCGAGATAAAGAATTACTAATACGAAGTACCAAATGAGTTCGGCATTCCCAGCGTGGTACACATAGAAAATGTTACTCGCTTGTAAGCGGTGTACATTGAAAATAATAGAAGAGCGCTCAGCCAATCAGGAAAACGACATTTATGTGTGAGGCAGGATAATGTCATTTATACCGTTTGGAATCTATTTCGGTAGAAATAAAACACCACTAAAAATAACAAACTGATATATAAACTTATTTTTCTCTGGCGGTGCTGGAAGGTATTCATGTATCCCTAGGCCTGCTGCTGTCATATGAGTGCATACCGTTAAATATATACCAACTATATGGCGGCGGTCCCTAAATAGTCAAGTTTGAATCAGACAATCCAATGTTCAACATCACGAGCATCCATCTACGCAATTGGGATGCGATGGCGTGAAACAACCAAGTCAAGCAAACCTGATCACCCGATCCCGTTAGTCGCCTCTTACGACAAGCATGGGTTAGTGAAGATCAATTCTAACCCGGATCTTCACGGGTCGAATTATCCAAGACAATGTACTGGCCTTGTATTGTGCTCAAACATATATTTGAATCAGATTCTGATTCGTCTAACAAACAACTGTTGAAGGGTTTCTTAGACATCATATTTAACTTATGAAAATCGATATATGTGTTTTTTAAAAAGAATTCTATATTTAAACGTGGTGGGGAGGCATGTTGTTGTTAAAATATACTTCCTACTCTTGCCTCCTTCACACCAATGTACACACTTCAAAAAAAGAAAGGCATTGGTGATTTTGAGAATACTGGACTCATATACTGCGGCAAAAACAATACAAATATACTATTTCTTTCCAAAACGTTCTCTTTGTGTGATTGTGAACAGCTTCAGCGCCAAAACGCGGCAATTTTAACTTTTAACCTTGTTTTAGAAGCGTTTGAAGAAATATTCGCCAAAACGTCACCAAGTAAACATGCAAAACAGAATGCACGTGCAAGTAAGCGGAAAAGTATGCGGTATCGCCCCTGTTTTGAAAGACTTCCATCGGCGCAATCGCTTGCGGTGGTGTCGGGGAGACCGGAACTGGAATCGTAGAAACTGGAGGCGAGTCTGGTTCAGTGATGAATCGCGATTTCTTCTTCACCGGCGAGAAGGAAGACAGCGTGTTTACCGTCGGAGAAATGAACGTTTTGCCCCTAATTTCAATCGACAGGTAGACAGATTCGGTGGTGGAAGTGTCATGGTGTCGGGTCAGATATCCAGCACACAAAGATCTGATTAAGTGGTGGTTCGGGAAATTTCACAGCAAATCGGTACATCAACTAAGTCCTTGCGCGTCACATGAGTTGTTCCAACATGACAACGCTACTTCACATATAGCGGTGTATTCCCATACTGTCAACAGGTTCAATCAATCATCCTTTTTATTACCATAAGTTTACAAATACATGCAAAGCATCATGGGGTATTTTTCAAAAATATATCACTTTTAGGCTATGGCTTGAGACAAATCCAGCAATTATGTACAGGTAAACTAATCATGTCATGTTGACAGACATTATAATGGAAATAAATTTACATAGATTTCTTAATTGCTTCATATTATGAGTTTCAAATAGGGCTGACATTTTATAATAGTTAGGGTTGTTTACATAATAATTCTTTAAATACATATTTCTGGAAGCAGTAAATTTATTACATTGAAATAAATAATGAAACTCATCTCCGAGTTGGGAGGGACATGACGGACAGAATCGTTTATTTGAGGGAATATTTTCCCAGCGACCTGTTTCAATAGGTAATTTATGGTTGGCGGTTTTAAATTTGATTAAAATATTACAGTGCTTTGTTCCTAATTTACGTTCCAGTAAAGAGATATCATAATGAGATTTCATACATTCTAAGAAAAGGAAACTATATTTTGAGAGTGCCATATATTGGACATACCAATATTATCTAATATGGTTTTAATGTAATTGAGCCATTTAAAGTTGTGGTTGTATTTCATTGAGTTTGTTAATGATATTTGATATAATGCTGTTAACGTAGAATTACATTTTCCGGATACTATTTTAGACCAGAAACACAACATGCGCAGTTTGATTTTATCAGTAAGAGGTGATCTCCCTGTTTCACGATACAACATATATGTTGGGGTACTGCGTCTTAGGTTTAGAATATATCTTATAAAATCAGTATGAATCCTTTCAATTGCTTTTACATTTACAAATCCCCATATTTCGCACCCATAGAACAAAATAGGGCAAATAGTACAATCAAATAAATAGAGTTTACATTCTATAGACATGTTAATATTTCTTAATCGCTTGTACAACAGATGCATTGCTTTATTGGCCTGGGTAATATTAGATTTTCTGGTATTTGCATACGAACGATTGTTACTGAAAACAACGCCAAGGTATTTATATTGGTTTACAAGCTCGATAATATCATGTCCGATCATACAATTATCGTTTCCTGTCGGGTTCTTCTTACCGAAGATTATGATTTTGGTCTTTTGTGTATTTATGGATAATTTGTTCTCTAAACAATAGTTGTAAAAACAGTCTAACGAATTTTGTAATTCTTTTGGATCATCTGATAATATGACAGTATCGTCAGCATATAGTAAAACGAGAAGTCGAACAAATATGTACATATTATTATCATCGAGTGTAACTGTTACACCGTCAACATTATTTCTAAGAAGCGAACTTTCTAAATCATTTAAGTACAGTGCAAATAGTATGGGGATAAATTTTCTCCTTGTCGTACACCATTTTTGCAAAAAAAAATACTGAGAGTGTTGGCCATTGTGTTCTTAATACCTTGGTACATTGATTTAATTACATTAAATTATACCATTGATATTGTAGTTAAGAATTTTCTTCCAAAGAATTGGTCTGCTTACATTATCAAATGCCTTACTAAAATCTATGAAGGCGCAAAATAGTTTACGCTTGCTTTTTCGCAGTATATCTGAAAGAGTATGAAGTGTATATATATGATCAATAGTCGAAAAACCCTTCCTGAAACCAGCTTGATTATCCAGCAGTACCTTCGTTTTTTCAACAAAAGTGGTTAGTCTATTGGTGATAATAGACGTAAACAGCTTACTCATACAGCTTAAGAGCGTTATAGGACGGTAGTTTGATGGATCATCTTGGTCACCTTTATTTTTAAATATAGGTTTTATAATGCCCACTAGCCACTTATCAGGAAACACACCCGACTGTAGGACAAGATTAAAGAGTTTTTCATACGTGGGGACAAGGATGCATTTTGAAGACTTAATATATTCATTATACACATTAACAGAGCCACAGGCTTTGTCATTTTTAAGATTGTCTATTGCTTTTAATATTTCTTCTTGTGTGATGGGTGTGTTGATTTCGTCGTTGATGACGTCGACAACTTCCTCATCTACAGCTTCGTCAGGGTCGTCGTTAATCTCCTTGAAGTAAGCAAAAAGCTTGTCGAGAGTAATTTGTTCATCTTTTGTTTTTTTCGATAAAGAATTTATGACTTTCCAAAATTCTTTTGGCCGTTTTGACTTCATTTTACTTAATTGTTTACGAAAATTTTCATTTGATATTTTTTTGTAAAATGTCAACGTTTTTCTGTAATCTTGTGCCGCATTTAACATTTTTGTTCTATTGGCAAGATTTCTCTGCTGGTTATGCATTTTTCTTACTAAATGATATTTCTTTCTAGCCAGCTTACATTTATATCCAAACCAGACAGATTTTGAATGTAAATCTTGTTTTACTTTTCTTTTTAAGCAAAATGATTTAACAGCCGAGTCACATAATAATGAGGACAATTTGTCGGTTAAGCTATTAATATCAGAAATGGTACATGCCTCATGAGAAAGACAGGCTGCTTCCAGGTTGAGGGCTGCAATAACCTCCCTGTCAAGGTTAACGAGGAATGATTGCTCACGGTCAGGCTGCCACCGTCTGGGTCGGTCTGGCTGACTGGGTACCTCTGGTTGTGGGAGGCGGCTAAAGGTGAACCGCATCGACAGGGGGCAGTGTGCATCCGAAAATAGGGGAGTAAAGTCCTCTACTAGTAGTTCACTACTGCATATAAAATAGTCCACGACAGCACAATCTTTCGAGGTAAAATTGCCTTTCTCAGAGTCACTGCCGAGTCGTCCGTTTACAATGAATAAATTATTAGCTATGCACAGTTTGATAAGTCTGTGTCCATAGTTGTTAGAGATTCTGTCACTGTTAACCCTGGTAAGTGGGATACCGTTCTGTTGTAGTGTAGATGCTTGATTCATATTCATATAAAGGTCCAGTTCTTCGTCCTTTTCAGTTCCATCGGGTGCATCATATGTTATGTAGTCAGGCATTGTCTTAGTGCGAGCATTAAAGTCTCCAAAAACGCATATCAAATCAGACATATTACTAAATTCAATTACCTCCTTTTCAAAAGTCTCCATTTTTTCAATTGAGGAATATCGAGAATTTTCTGGGGGATATAGACCACAGTAAAATAAGCATCTTGTGCGTGGGTGAGAGTGCTTCTTATCTTGAACCATAGCGCGTATTCAGAGTCATTGTCCAGAATTTCAACATATGGGGAGAGCGTTTCTTTAACATAAAGTGCTAAACCTCCGGATTTACATAGGTTCTTTTGCACTCTTCTATTATTCATAAACACATTATATCCAGGGATATCTATCTTATCGTAATCATCCAGCTTGGTTTCCTGTAGTCCAATAAAGTCATATTGTGAGATATAATTAATAAAGTCCGGGCAGATGAGTTTCGTTCTAAGACCACATACATTTAATGATAAGAAGGAGAAATCTCTCTTTGTTTCCTTTTTGTTTTTTAATTCTACAGGCGATGGCTCGAGTTTAGGCTTGGGATATTTATGACACCCCTAGTCCATGGGAGACGTGTTGTTTGTTGGTGTAGCTGGCTGTGAAAAATGTGAAGTTTTAAGTTACTTTATTATTTGACTTGTGCAGTGACTAAATTGAAATACATGTCCGCATGAATGTTATTTTCAACTGGTTAACTGTTCGAACTCTCACAATAATATTGAATAAATGGAAGCAAGTATGGTTCACTTGATGGAACACTTGCTAATTGTCATTCAGTGTCACACGTTTTAGCAAATTTAGGAGGTCTGGGCTGGATCACAGAAGAGTCTGCCCTTTCTTCTTCTTTTTCTGAGCCAGTGTTTGATTGCAGGACGGGAATCAAACGACTGCAGAGAGGGACCCAGCATACTGAGTTTGAGGAGTAAATCCAGTTTTTCAGAACCAAGTGATGCTCTAAACTTATTCTTCAGTCGATTTTGTGTGCTGAAGCTCCGCTCGCATTCAACACTTGTAAGCTGCATACACAGAGCAATAGAAGCAAGCTTGGCACAGTTCGGCATTGAATCTTTGTGAAGCAGAATGACCCTTTTGCAGAGTTGTTCAGGTAGAAGTTTTGAATATGTTCCATTGATCATTCCTCTAAGCCTGGGCTATTCGTCAAGAAGTTTGTCAGGTTGTAGCAGGGGTCCCACCAGTTTAATGTGTTCTTCCAGACCTTGGTGTAGATCCCCTTCTATCACTTTGACCTCCTTCTGTGCACCATAGAGAGCACCAAGATGTGCGACAGCTTCACCAGACTCCTCTCCAGAGACAGTGTTTACTGTAAGTGGTTCCAGAGCCATACTCATATCTGTGAAAATGGCACTGTCTTCCTCCTTGAATCTGTTCTTGATATTCTTCATGAGGTTCTTCAGGTATTCTGCTCTGTTTTAGCAAATAGCAACTTCTCTCCACCTACAAATGTTTTTTCATTCTTTGTTTCAATTCTGGTCTTCATTTCCTTCAAGCTTTGCCCATCATGAGCTTTCATGGTATCGACTTTATTGAGTGTCCCTTCAATAAGAGGCCAGAGTTCACTAAAGAGAAGGTTTTTCTTCTGGAGGCTACAGCTTAACACTGCCAACTCTGTGTGGACATCAAGGAGGAAAGCTATTACCAGTGCCACTTTATAGCCAGCAAAGTATTTGTACAAACCTTTTGCAACTGCATTTTTCTCAGCTGCAAATTTTGACAGTGTTGATAGGACAGATTCAAAACTTTCAAAAACTGCTTTAACTGCATTTTTCAAGTCTAGCCATCGAATAGAATGTGGTTCCTTGATTGTCAGTTCTGGTTCTTCTAGAAGTGTTTGAATTCTTCTAAGAGCAAGTATTCGTCTACTTGATGCAGATATAAAGTTGTAGAGTGAATTGAACTTGTCTCTGAACTTAACCATGAATTCAATTTTCTTAATTGAATCAATGCAAGCAAGGTTTAGCCTGTGAGCTACACAGTGGGTCTGGATGCAGAAAGGAGAATACTTGGCTTGCATTTGTTTTCCTACACCTGTGTGCTTACCCATCATAGCAGCAGCGCCGTCAGTTGAGAGAGAAACACATTTTGTTAAGTCAATGCCTAACTTTTCAAATTCTGCTGCTAGACAGTTAACAATGGTGTGAGCACAACCATCATCAATAGGATGATTGCATAAGAAACTAGTCACAGGTTCTCCAGCTTTCACATATCTGACACATATGCTTAACCTTTTTTCAACAGTCACATCAGCGCTTTCATCAAGCATTATTGAAAATACTTCAGATAAATTAATCTCATTGACAAGTGTCTTTGTCAGGACATGGCAAATAGATTTTTGAATCTCTGTTACAGTTGACCAACTCAAGTTCTTGTACTCGACATCCAAACCATTCATTTTCTGTAATGACAACAGACCATTCACATGTTCAGATGGGCATTCTGATTTGGCAGCAAAATAAACAGTATTAAACAATATGGTGTCATCATTAGAACAAACGTAACCAACATCCTCGCCTAATTCCTATTGTATTATATCTGCCCCCTTGTCTCTCTCCATTTTATCAGAAGCACGTTTGTGATCTTCACTGTTGTTATGCCTGATCAGGCTCGACATCTGAATACTTGGTGTACCATCACTAGCCCACACACTTGTAAGGGACAAACTTCTCTTTGCCGACTGACAATAAGTGCAGCATAGTCTCATTTCATCAGATTGTTTATTGAAAGATAATCATGGAAACTTCATTTTCCATGCATCCTGAGTTTTTTTCGAAAGTTTATTCCCGTCATGTTTCTTTGCCGGTGCGTGTGTGACAGTGGTGAGCAAATCTGCCAATATTCTATCGACAGCAACCTCCGATTCAAAACAATTTCCAATGAGTTCAGCAATAATTTCTTTTGCGATGGCAGAAGTTTCAAATGATCGATTTCGAACTGTGACAAATGCCGAAATCTTACTTTGAGATGATGTTTTAGACGACGAATGAGCACGCGACTTCCGTGAGGCCATCGTTGATAAACAATGAGTGTCCAGACTTTCTAACAATACGAGCGATTTCATTGGGTGGTATTTTTAGCAGAACTAATCAAGACGAGTGTTACATACATAACTAACTGCGTTTGCGCGATTGTTTCTTTCAGTAGTTCATAATACGAAGAGATACATAGTGAAATTCAATCGATAATCTACCCTATCTGATCGTAACATTTGACAGTTAGCTACTTTCTGTTACGCACTTGTTTTTTGCCGGTAAGTCAGCGTACGCAGGTTAGCAAGTAACCAAAGCGTTTCTGTAATTTCCTTTGCGTATTTGGGACGCTACAGATATATTTCTGTGCGTATTTTGGAAACTTAAATGCGTATTTTACGCAGATACGCAGCTTATCTAGACTTCTGTAATTCTACCAATGCGGTGTGCTCTTTCAATAGGAATATCTTCCTCAATTTTCAGATTTGTTTTTATGAAATTTGAGATGGTTTGTTCACAGTTCTCTTGGTCTTTTTCAACTAGACCACTAAAAAGTAGATTCATTTCCATACTTCTTGTTTTCAAGTCGAGAAGCTGTTCATGTATTTGATCAATGTTTTGTGCATTTTCCCCAATGTGATCAGCATTTTCAACTATGAATGATTGCATTCCTGGTATATTTGCTTGTTCGTGTTTCGTGCACGTTTCTTGTACTTGTTGTATTTGACTTTGGAATGATTCAAGTTTCTGGTTGATAGTGTCATATTTTTCGCTCATGAATTGAACACTTTTTTTAATGTCTGACATTTTTACTTCTGTTTCTTGAAGTTTGTGATGCAAAATAGTTACTGTTGCATCTGTTGAAGTAACGGCTGCTTCTATGGCATCCAACTTGTTGATTTTGCTACACATCGCCTCTATATTAGAGAGTATTTGCATAAGGTCAACATTGTGTGTGATCATGTGGTTACCTTGTGGAGCCCCGTTGTTACTTGGCGATGTCAACAAATGCATCTGGCCCTGAGGTGTACCATTAAATGTCAGGTTTTGGGGTAGGAATTGATGAGCCATCGGACTGTATATCATCTGCAAGCTACCGCCGACGATCTCAGGTAATGTGTTGTTCTCTACAGGTGTAGTGTGACGTGGCGTTGACGATACATGGCGTCCATTTTCCTCACCTGTGAGTGTGATCGACTCGTTGATTTGTGTCCCAACTGTCTTGTCACTTCTTTTCTGCTTACTATTGCTCATAGCACTTTGGAAAGGGTTTCTTGTAGTTATATCCGCCGCTAACTACAGCTTCATATATTTGCAAACCTTTGATATATCTTCTGTGTATGAGAGAGGTAAACACACACATCCACCCTGGCCATAGCCTCGATCCAGAGCCCCAGAAGTAGAAGTAGATGCACAGATATATACTAATATAATCCCCCTAATTACCCCTTTCTCCAAAGGAAGCACCCCTTCATTCTTCGGGCTGTTCCATTATTCTACAGGGCAAAACATCTTTTCCCACGCTGCCTACAATGTTTTTGGCAGTTTGGAACTATAGGCAGTATGGGACCTAACCCATATAGCACGCGTCACAGTCCGCTACCTTGCAGATTCTAAGGTCAATGTCTTGCCATGGCCTTCCCGATCACCACGTCTAAACCGGATAGAACACATATGGGATGAACTCCATCGACGTGTACGTCAACGTGAAAACACGCCTCGGACACTTCCAAAACTGGCTATCGTATTGCAGGAAGAATGGGGAAGGATTCCGCAAGAGCGACTTTGTCGACTTATCCGGTCTGTGCCGAGCAGTAATTGCTGCCAAAGGTGGCCATACAAAATACTGACTTTGACGCCATCTTGTGGACTCAAGTAAACAGAAACACAACAAAAAAGGCTGCTGTCGTGTTGTCGAACTCTTTGTCTATAGACGTGGGAATTTTCACCTTTTGCCATTGAAATTACATGAAATAAGTTAGTGTATTTTTTACACTACGAGGGGCGTTCATTAAAGATTTCCCCTGACCCACTTGCAGTGGACTTAGTGGAACGAAACTTGGCAGTTATGAGTCCTTCTCTACATAGCAGCCACCAAGAGTTACACACTTCTCCCATCGTTTTATGCAACTATAAAGACCCGGCTTGAAAAAGTCAGTAGGTTGCGTATCAAACCATGACTTGACTTCCGAAATCAGTGTTTCATCATCTGGGAAGAGTGTTCCCCTTCACAATGACTTCATTTTTTACATTTTACACATTTAAACTGGCGATGCCAGTGTTGAACTACGTCATACGATGGGGCATCCTCCACATAAGTTGCTTTCATTTCGTCAAAGGTCTCTTTTGGCGTGCGACCTTTCAAGTACAAACACTTGGTCACTGCTCGGACTCAACTGGCTCCATTGTCACACCTTACTTCAATATAACGCTAGTTCAAAAGTTCAAAATTTCCACATGACCCATAGGCATATGTGTTATTTCCCACATGAGGTTTCAGCCACATGTGAAAACCAGAAGTGGGTCAGGGGAAATCTTTAATGAACGCCCCTCGTGCCATGCCACAGATTACTTTTTGATAACGTTTGCTGGAATGAGTGATGGTTGAAAAGACTGAATTAAATTTTTGTTTTGGTCTTTTCTCGGTATGTTTTCTTTACCCCACCCCCCGGCTATTTTCTATGAATTTGCAATGATAAAACAAACCAAGAGCCAATTGGTATACCTTCGCTTGCCTTCAAGGTACTACACTCTCAAAAAAAGAAACGCAACCCCTATCTAAATATCTGACATCATTTCTAGAATAAAGATGGTGAATGTAAATTAGAATTTTCTTCAAAATACTGTTAATACGTTCCCATCTGATCAGTATAAGCTCCCAAACGGAACCATTTTCACACATGATGACCTTTGTATCCGTGTTATTTGAGAAAGTGCGAAATTGTCATGTACAAAATGCTAAAAGCCTGTTGCACGTGCAAATCGTTGAAAACACAGTTCATGTAGAGGGTTTTAAAAGCACGCGTAGTTTGTAATTTTTCTCTCATAATTTGCTCTGCAAATCAAGTTCGAAAATGCCCCGTTTGAGTACAGCAAATCGAAATATTGCCATTGGTCGCATTGAGGCCGGGGAAAGCTTTGGAACAGTTGCCCGTCATCTAAACGTACACAAAACAACAATCTCACGACTTTGGAATCGTTACACACAGTTCCATGCAATTGAAGATCGTCCAAGGAGCGGTAGACCTAGGATCACCACACCGGCTCAGGATCGCTTTATTCGACTCAGCCACCTACGTAATCGGCATGCCACACCCACCATCACTGCAACACAGGTGCCAGGTTTGAGGAGAGTATCGGCCCAAACCATCAGGAACCGTTTACATGAGGCAAATTTACGTGCAAGAAGACCAGTTGTTGGGCCCGTCTTGAAACGCCAACATCGACGCCAACGTCTCAGGTGGTGTACTAACGTAAGGAGATGGACCCTAAGAAACTGGAGAAGAGTCTCGTTTAGTGACGAGTCTCGTTTTCTTCTTCAACGACGTGACGGTAGACAACGTGTCTATAGACGAGCAAATGAACGTTTTGCACCGAACTGCGTTCGACAGGTCGACAGATTTGGAGGAGGAAGCATCACGGTATGGGGAGCCATGTCTTACAACCAACGGTCAGACTTGGTCATCATTCGTGGCAATTTGACGGCACAACGGTACATTGATGACGTCTTACAGCCACATCTTCTGCGGTTAATCGACCAACAGAGGGAGTTGTTTCAACATGACAATGCCCGCCCTCATACAGCTCGTGCAACAGTGGCATTCTTACAGAATTCAAACGTCAACGTGATGCCGTGGCCCTCCAGATCGCCAGACATCAATCCTATCGAACATCTGTGGGACCAGCTGGATCGTCGTGTTCGTGCACGTACACCACAACCGCACACGTTGGTTGAACTGGCCGCAGCACTCCAGGAAGAGTGGAGAGCAATCCCCCAGGAAAACATCCGCCGTCTGATTCGTTCTGTTCCGAGGAGGTGCACTGCTGTGATTAGAGCTCGTGGCTCTACAACGAGATACTGAAGACAACGCCCCCTAGCGTAAATTGAGAGTTCGATACTGACCTGCATTAACTGTTACCTTATACCGTGCTGACCTAAGGTTCACCATGTCAAATTTCATGGCATTATCTTTAAAAATACAAATGTAATAACCAGTTAAAATTGATATAAACATTACCAAAAAAAACAGGGGTTGCGTTTCTTTTTTGAGAGAGTGTATATTGTTCTTCATATTGGACATTTGTCATTTGCTGCTATAGCATAATGATGTAGCACACCTAAATGCCATAGGCAAGGATACTGCCAAGAATATTTGTAAACATCAGCCTTTTCGATCAGGTTGTGTTTGTTGTATAAACAACAACAACAACAACAACAACAAACTAAGTGCAGGATACGCTCATATTTTCGCGAACACCTGGAATCGACATTATATGATAGTGATTCATAAACAAACAGGCTAAAACTAAAACTGAAAACCTACAATATAGAACTGGAAAAAACCCAAAAACAAACATAAACACTCGGGACATCTTACAATGAAATGAAAGCATGGTCCACAGTCAATCGTACTCAATATTCCCTAGTGCAACAGCAATCACGCCCCAGCCCCCGGCAATATTCAATATCCCCACCCAGTCCCATAGCAATGCGTGAAGCTCCCAATTTCCCATGTCCCCGCCGCAATGTTCCCTATTGCAGCAATAGCGGCGTAAAACCAATATTCCCTCGTCCCATCAGCAATCTTCCAGTGAAATGAAAGCATGGTCCACATCTCGCAATATTCCCAGCTCAATATTCCCTAGTGCAACAGCAATATTCCCCAGTCCCATAGCAATATTCGCAATCTCTCAATAGCCCCATAGCCCATATATCCCTAATGCCATAGCAATATTCCTTCCTTAATATCTCGCAATATTCCCCAGTCCCATAGCAATATTCCCCATAGCCCCCATCAGCAATATTCCTTAATCTCTCGCAATATTCCCCAGTCCCATAGCAATATTCCCTAATGCAACAGCAATATTCCTTCCTTAATATCTCGCAATATTCCCCAGTCCCATAGCAATATTCCCCAGTCCCATAGCAATATTCCCCAGTCCCATAGCAATATTCTCCAGGCCCTCATATTCCCTCAGTCCCATAGCAATATTCCCTAATGCTACAGCAATATTCCTTCCTTAATATCTCGCAATATTCCCCAGTCCCATAGCAACATTCCCTAATGCAACAGCAATATTCCTTCCTTAATATCTCGCAATATTCCCCAGTCCCATAGCAATAGTTCCCAGTCCCATAACAATATTTCCCAGTCCCATAGCAATATTCCCCAGGCCCTCAGCAATATTCCAAGGTTCTTCGGCAATAGTTCCCAAGTCCCTTTCCAACTTCAACGGATTGAAATTAACCAAAACGAGTGATAGATAATAACAGCATCGATCCTTGCCGTCCAAGAATCTGCCCACTCAATCTATTACGTCACACGACAATTGTAGTTTAGGGATCAGTCCTAACTTGGCATCCTCACAGGCAACATCACGTGTTATCATGCTTGAAATGCAACAGACTATAGTACGTTTGGCTCAAAGCAGACCGATGAATTGCAATCTAACTCGAAAAATAAACATAAACATCAATGAAACGCTGATCATAATCAAACATCATACCAACTCTGTGAGGTTTTGCAGAATTTTGTCCTAAAATAATAAAGTTGTTTAACAATCATTGTATCATTAAAATATTGACAGTTCACTGTTAAAATTTGTTACGAGGGAGGAGTTAAAGCCAGGTGTTCGAGAAGCACGTTCACAGACAAAGTTAATTATTCATTAACCTGTGCTGTGCCGTCTCCATCCGTTCTCGAACACCTGGCTGTCCCTTTCTCCACACTCCTCCCTCGTAACAAACAGTGAACTGTGTCAATATTTTAATGATAGATTGTTAAACAACTTTTTAATTTTAGGACAAAAATTCTGCAAAACCCTCGGACTTCTTTTTTATAAATCTGCGTCTTGTTTTACTAGGCTGCAACCACACGTTGACGGGTAATTCTGGAGTGTTCTCGTCACCGAACTACCCGGGGTTCTATCCCTCCAATGTTGACTGCTACTACACCATCGATGCCGGCCCCAAACTTATTCGACTCATATTTCTGGACTTTGCAGTCGAAATAGGCTATGACTTTGCGAAGGTGAGTGAGTGTCTGGAGGGTGGTTGAGTGGTCCAATGGGTACGTGAATGGATCATGGTTGAATCAAATCAATCATAGGTGGTTGGTTTGTTGTTTAACGCCGCAATCAGCAATATTCCAGCTATATGGCGGAGAGTCTGGACCAGACAATCCAGTGATCAACTTCCTGAGCATCGATCGATCAAATGGGATACGATGACATATGTCAGCGAGCCTGACCACCCGTCAGTCGCCTTTTACGACAAGCATGGGTTACTAAACCACAATTCTTCAGGGGTCCAACTCAGTTATAGGTATTTAATGTTTCACATCTGCATCATATGTATTGCATTGTTTGTTGGACAGTACATTCAATTGCTCACAACCCTTATGGCTTGCAGCTTGTGTTCATACACACGAACCCGTGAAGATCCTTGTTAGAATTAGGTCTTCGGCAAACCATGCTTGTCGTAAGACGCGACACATCGCACCTTGGTATGTGTAGCTTCTGTTGGAGGACATTTGATAGCAGGACAGATGATTCATGTGATTTGATTGTTTATTGCTTGTTTAACGCCCTACTCAGCAATATTCCAGCTACACGGCGGCTGTCTGAAAATAATCGAGTTTGGACCAGACAATCCAGTGTTCAACAGCATGAGGATCGATCTACGGAAATTGGATACGATACGATGACATGTGTCAACCAAGTCAGCGATCCTGGCCACCCGATCCTGTTAGCATCTTACTACAAGCTGAAGACAGTTGCTGAAGTCCAATTCTAACCCGGATCTTCACAGATCTTTTTCGCAAAAAAACGCGAAAATATAATAAATCTTTTCTGCTAGTGTGTAAGATTGTTCCCAACACTGACCTCGTGGTATTAGTTAAACAAATAACCCGAAAAGGGACCTTGTACTCATCGACCTCTGCACGGCCTTCAATCTTGCATGCACATCAATATCTTAGGTATCTGTTATCGGAAGTATCACTTACATGCTAACGTAATTCGCACATGCTAATCTGTTTCAGGAAACAATATTTTATTTAAACATTTTTTATTTCGTGGAAAAAGCACCAGGAGTGGAACATAACCCAAGTGAACTGTACTTGAAAAACCGTTATACATTTCAACATATTGAAATCGGTAAATATGACATATGAAGTATTTTGTGAGTGGCAGTAAAAAATATTTGTTAAGAGGGATATTGCGTGGAGTCTTTTCGCCAATGATTTACATGTATTCATGAATGTTACAACAACATGAGTGTATTCAAACATCAATACATAGTGATCTACTGGAAATGAGTTTCCGATATGATCAAACAATTATTGAGTATTAAACAAGATACACCAGTCTTGGATCAGATGCCAACAAGGAAACACACCTTACAAATTCCAGTAAACATGCACTTGGATCTATTGGGAATCATATGCGTGGAATACATATAATCTATTTCCAACATGTATTGTAAAGTTCAATTATTATTTAAGGATCGACTGTGTATTTTTTCGATATGCAAACTTTCGTAAGAATCCGCTGTCGAACAAGTACACAGTCAATTCTTATAGTTAAATTTGACTATAGAAAACTACGATATCGATAAATGTTTTTTTAAAAAAAACCCAACCTAACCCAATCGTTTCAATTAAAGCAGACAGAAATCAGAAGGAATACATTCTGTGGCACGACGTGTATCAGGGGATTTTTTAATGTATGCATATAACTTGACCCGCCCCTTAAGGAGAGTAGAATGAAAACAAAGTTCACAGAACCTGCCAATCAAAGTAAGAGACGAGAATAACTACAACAGTCAGACTGTAACGAACGGTGCCAACATGTCAGGGTGAAGGAAGGTATTTTAAATTAGATGGTCTGTATAAGCCAATCCAAACATTTGTTTTCCGAGAAAGGACACAAGTGAAAACATGCGACTTAGGAATAAAACCCGAACATATGTAGCGGCGTGTCTTGTGCATAGAGCCCAGCTAACAAATCAGTTGAAGTTAAGAAACGTTGACCGTGTTTGTCAGCTTGACTCCTGAGAGTTTCTAGGACTTCTGTCCTGCCCCACTGCGAAGCACAAGTGACACAGGTGGTCTCACTCCAGGCAAGTGAGTTTGTTCGTAAATTGCCTCTGTTCACCCAGGAGTGAATGGGTACCCGGCGGGATATGTCATAAGGCTGTTAACCTTCTAGCGCCTCCGGGCAGCTTGGGTTTTCCGGGGGGAATGAATGAATGAATGAATGAATGAATGAATGAATGAATGGAATGTCGGTCATTTGCGTAACTTCAGGCGATGGACTGACTGACTGACTGGATGGATGGATGGGTGGGTGGATGGATGGATGGATGGACGGACGGACGGACGGACGGACGGACGGATGGATGGATGGATGGTTGGTCGGTCCCTGCAGGTATATTGCATGATTCCTTCGAACGTATTCTCTGACAACTCGTAGTAGGCGTGGTTAAATATTTGAGGTACCTTCCTATATCAACACCGCTATTTCAGGTATACGATGGCTCCAACAATCTGCTGAGTGCGCTGGACGGAAGTAAGGGCATGTACGTCATCCAGCCAGCCACCTTCTATAAAGTTCTGTTTCATACCGATACGTTAATCCATTACAGCGGCTTCAATGCAACATGGACAAGTAAGTATTGAAAACTCGTATCACATCAGAGTCCCTATCCACAACGCGATCGTAACGTTACGACCTGTCGTAACTCTGTAGTTTATCATAGGCGTGCGACTGTCGTAGCTCTACGAACGTTTTGTGGATCGCTACCCAGTACTTTACGCATCCCATGAAGCAAAGACGTTTCGGATTGGCAATAAAAAAGTTGTTATCCTTATCGTATCCCACCTTTCCTATCACTCTGTTCTCTGGAATCCACTTAAATATGTATAATCCTAACACACACTGTATTGATTTAGACGACACAATTCTATTCACGGCAATAAAGAAGTTGTCATCCATAAAGTGTCCTACCTGTCCTATCATTCTATTCACATCTATTCCACTTAAATTTGTATAATCCTAACACACGTTGTATTGATTTAGACGACACAACTCTATTCACGGCAATAAAGAAGTTGTCATCCATAAAGTGTCCTACCTGTCCTATCATTCTATTCACATCTAATTCTCTTAAATTTGTATAATCCTAACACACGTTGTATTGATTTAGACGACACAACTCTATTCACGGCAATAAAGAAGTTGTCATCCATAAAGTGTCCTACCTGTCCTATCATTCTATTCACATCTATTCCACCTAAATTTGTATAATCCTGACACAAGCTATATTGATTTAAACGACACAATACAGTTAATGAAATATCCATATCTCCGCATTAGTGAAAGAAAGCAATACGTTGCTCATCTGACACAACTTGACATACATTTGACGACATAAGATAGGCGGTTTCCTTGGGGTAACCACCGGGCAAAGGAAACTATACACCCATGTTTTGATGAATACTTAAATGTTAACAGTGAAGGAATGGTTATTCAATGGCAATATATTTCATACGGGTATTTTAGGTATATTGTGAACCTCATGTGCACAGTATTCTGTCACTGTTTTCAACTAGCGTGTTGTAATTATCTTTATCGAAGTTATATACGAAGTGTATTTTCTAGTCACATGTTGAGAAGTCAAAAACAAAGATTATATCGAAATTATTGGTGTTGGTTGTGTCAGGAATGCTTCAGGTGTTTATATACTGAATTAAAATGTTAATGATATGAATATTATGTATTTTGAAGAATTTCATTTTAGTGTTATTTCATCTGATAGGAACTGCAAGATTTTTAAAAATTATTTTACTTCGGTTTACATTAACTGTAAAAATTTGAACGTGCATAAGAAATATATTAGTGATCGCCACTGCAAATCAGGACACCTATTGTCAACACTGTTGACTGAACACTGAACACTGAAATTATTTTTCTTTTCACCCTTGCTTTCCAGTCTCTGCCGCCGCCTTAGCTGAAGACGTTCCCGCTCGCATCCACGGTCGTTGTAGCTATCACGAAGATGTTGTTCGCCAGTCCACATCCGGGTTCTCCCTTGGTCACCTTGAACTACTGAGCACAGTCACCATCTTCGACTGCATGTTCATCTGTAAGGAAGATAGTTTATGCACGGCGTTCCATTACCAGAATCAAGATTGTTCCTTCTATTTCAACTTTCCTTGTAATGATACCCTCCCGGCATTGCTGTACATGGGAATGTGACGTCTACCATGGCTACGTGAAATGCTCGAATTTGATTGGTCAATCAATAAAATCAGACGGTATCAATTTGGATTGAAAATGCGTCTGATTTCACGGCGCTTCACTGCGCACGTATACAACACTGCCGCACTACTTCAGCTTGGCCACCAACATGACTAATATCAACACAACAGACGTGATGGAAATGCTGATGAAACATTTATTAAAACTCGAAAAATACAATTATACGATTTCTCCTCCACAATTATTAGGGAACCTCACTATCATAATTATTACCTTCTATTATAAAAATATTCAAACTCAATTACAATACACAGCCCCAAACATAAACAAACAATATCTAACATATAAATCAGAAAACCTTGTAAAATACATCCCTATCTATCCCTATTTGTGCGGCAAAACGTTCGTAAACATTTACCTACCTGGTAAATGGTATATTTGTTTCCGTTTAGAATGGGAAATTCGCAAGATAACGGTCAGGCGAAACACAAAATTTATGCCACTCATACTCCATCATGTCCCGTTGCATCGTTCAAAATGTCAAAAATTGAACCATGAGAATTCCGCTCTCTGCCACCTTCCCCGCAAGGCTGTCACTGCTATGTTCGTACACTTTGAAAAGCTTGGCCACAATCCAGTCCCAAATGATGAGAACAATGTTCCAAGGAATCCCAAGTTAGTCGCATGTACACAAAGCAGCACTGTCACTCTTTCGTCGCATGCCGGGGTGGAGGCACGTACGTGAAATCATGATCGACACTCGCCGGTCATAAAAATCAACAGTCTTTGATGAGTTACAGGTCATAGGTCGATCAGAAAAGGATCTATTCTTCGATTCTGCAGGGTTCAGGTTCGACAGTCAGTCAAGTATTTTCCACTGTCACTTCGAATTTCAACCTTTCGCAAAATGTAAACACTGGCTCGTCCGCCATTTCAAACTGTTGCGTAACTGTCTACTTCCAAGAAAATAAGTAGGTCAGACGATTCCATTATAGTGTGGCCAGGGGGTACAGTAACACGGCACACAAAACAATAGGCTGGTTTCGGTCGTGTGGAGTTATGATTATAAAAACCAAGCTCTTAGGTGTTACATTATTGCATTGAATAAACAGTAGTTTGTTTTCTTTGGACAGAATATTTTGTATGTTGCAATGTTAAAAAAATACGAACGGAACCTACCACTCCCTTCACAGACGAGTTCAATTCGCCTCTCGTCCCATGCCGGATTACGCAGTGTCTTCCGCAGGACGAGGAAGTTCGATGTTAAATCGGTTATGGTAGAATGGAGATAAACATACTGTGTTTGGAAATTAGATGAATGTTAGACCGAATTGATAGTCTCTAAATTTAATCATTTGAAGGAAGTCATCGAATTCCAGTTGAGCGGATCGATACGCATGACATCAGTCACTGAATTGTCTGGTTTAGATTCGATAATAGGTGAAATATTGCTGAGTGCAAACAAACATGCGTGTTTGCACGTGCTCGTCAGTTAGTGCTTTGTTTGCATTTATGTGATGTTGATTGTTTAAAAATTTTAATGTGCGTTTCAAGACCTTAATAAGATGTACTGTATTTTTATACTCAGAAAATACAATGGAGAACAAACTTCAATGTATATTTTCACATCTCTCGAGGACGTTTCTACGCTGAAGCATCAAGCACGTATTTCTATTGCCTGAGATTTAAGTATTTTTACGCCCAATGGCTGTCGTTTGTTCTTGTGTCCAAATGAATGTCTGAAGTTTCTGACGTGTATGTTGTTGTCATGGTGATTTAAAAGCAACAGTTTCGTTCTTATTAAACATTAAAGACAATTTTGTCTTTGTTGATTGTATATACTAAAACACAGAATTTGTGTGTCACATTTGAATCGATGTAGGCTGTAGCTCACCTGTCTAGTATGTGGAAAGCTTTAGCTCACGTGACACAAGTGTGTTGGCATATAAATTCATCGTTGTTAGATAGATCCATTTGTATCGTAGATGGTCTCACACTCGAAGACCTAATAATATTTCACACCATGTCATCTGATGAATATTCATCTTACTGCTCATGATAGATTGATGCACTTCGTAATGGGTTCAATCCCCCGTTGATTCTGAGATGGTAGCCAAGTATTTGAAGCGTTCGCTTGTTACGACGAAGGCCCGGGTTTGAATCTCTACACCGGCATGTTGTGTGAAGCTCATTTTTCTGGTGTCTCCCGTGGTAGTATTGGTTAATATTTCTAAAACGATGTATAAATACATCACTGCGTTTTGCTATATGTCTGCACTGTGTAAAACGGTTGGATGTATTTGTGAAGAACAATCCCTGTGATGATTCCGAAAGACAATCCCTCTGGGATGTCGCGTCTTTCGTATATTTCTAACTGCTAATTAGGCGGTAACCTGTAGGGGTGGGTATTGCAGAGCATTTTCATATTGTGATATATTGCGATGCGGAAGCATATATTGCGATATGTATTGCAATATATTGCAAGGAATATTTTTTTAACAAAAACTACTTATAATCGAGTTAATGCTTGATTATAAAGCAAAAACACAACAAACTCACTATGATTGATTAACCTTTTATAAAAACTTTTAATCATGACAAAATAAATATGTAAGTAACATTTGGCACTAATGAAACAGGGAAAAGAACAATTAAAAAAACGGAAATATCCGAAGATTTCCGAGTGTTACGAAGTTTTCCGAATGCATGTCAAAATACCGGTTTTCGATCAGCGTATCGTAATACGTATCGTTTTCATGTCTGAACCGGTAAATACCGGTAAACCGGTTATATTGCGCAGCCCTACTAACCTGTGAAGATCCGGGTTAGAATTGATCTCCTTTAACCCGTGCTTGCCATAAGGGGCTACTAACGAGATCGGGGGATCAGACTCGCTGACTTGGTTGACAGGTGTCATCGTATCCCAACTGCATATGATCTAGGTTGATGATGTCAATCACTGGATTGTCTGGTCCAGACTCGATTTTTGTAAATCCGCAAATGTGGCCTTACAATCCGGGTCACGGGTTCGATCCCCGACCGCGTCATACCAAAAGACGTTAAAATATGGTACTTGTTGGTCCCTGCCTGGCGCTCGGCATTTATGGGTACAACAAGGACTGGTCGGCTCGGAGTCAGTATAATGTGTCTGAGTGGGGTATTCATGCTTCACTGCGGCATGGTATCTCAGTGGACTAGCACTATAAAACCAGCTTAAGTCTGGGCTAGTACAAGCAGCCGCACATACACATACACACGCATGCACGTCGTCATATGAGCGAAATATTCTCAAGCACGACGATAAACCCAATTTCACCTCACCTTACAATCCGGTGATTGATATCTTCAACGTCAATCCACGCAAAGGGATTATGATGACATACAAACCAGCACATGACCGAAACTATCCACCCGAGTCATTAAGCTGCCTACAACGAGGAGTAGGATGATGGTGGATTCGAACCCGGAAATCCTCTCAGACGAAACGTATTATAACAGATGACGTTATCAGCCTTCAACGATACTTATAATACATATAACACCTATAATAGCTTATATTCGTACCCAGAATCCTAACGGGTCTAGCCTTTCAGATGGATAACATACTGAATAATGCAGTTGTGCTGATGACATCACGGGTGACGTAATGATGTTGCCGTGACAGTATGGGCCTCTGACTGTCATGGACAATATGGACTGTTGTCATTGATATACCACCCTATGGCATTATGGACTCTCCCACAAAACGGTCATGGAGTGAGTGAGTGGTTTTACGCCGCTTTTAGCAATATTCCAGTATGGTCGTATGCCGCTTTTAGCAATATTCCAGGAAAACCACGGCGTGGGACACCAGAATCGGGCTTCCCGTTTTACCAATGTAGGGAATCGAACCCGGGTGTTCGGCGTGACAAGCGAACGCTTTAACCACAAGGCTACCCACCGCTCGTCTTAGATTTAGGATATTTATGTGAAGATACCATCAACAATAAATACAACGATTTTTTGGTTGGTTTGCTGGTATGCTTTATTCATCGATATGACTCACATGGATAAAAATATCGATACATAATATATCGATAAATCGATTTTCACTTATTGCCCAGGAGGACCAATCTGAGCGTTTACCCCAGCGTAGCCACACATCCGGTAGTTGGTCACGCCATTGAATGTATGACCAGCCACCATGTTGGTGGCGGAGCTGTAGCCGTTGTACTCGCCGTAGTTGTCGCTTGTTGGATTGCCGAAGCAGGACATGTACCCGATGTTCCCGCCAACAATGTCGACAATGCCAAGGATGTCGCCGGCGTTCACAGGTATTTGCTCTTGTTGCGGGATGCACCACGTCATCGGACGATCGTCACGACAGCGGACGTTGGTATGACCGACGACGAGGTAGCTGCCGATAGACAATGAGATCGATGCAGTACATTCGGCCTACTGCGTCATCGATAATCTCCAGGGCCTAGATTTTCGAAGCTCTGTCTTAGCGCTAAGATAGTCGTAAGTGCCATACATTAACATTAACTTACGACTATCTGAGTGCTAATTAGTGCTAAGAGAGTTTCGAAAATCTGGACCCAGGCTATACGTTCCGATAAATCTCCACTATACCTCGATGCATCTACGGCTCGAGCCGATGATTTTATTACCACCCTTTGCTGGCTCCGCCTTTTACACAGTAGCCAATCAGATACGCCGTTACAACCGACCTTGCCAACAAAGATGTCAATTATTAGGTAGAGCGGTAGATACATCCAGGGTACCAGTGGAAATTTATCGGATCGAATATCCTGGAGATTATCGAGGATTGTACTCAGGGGCATATCTTTTATTAGTTATTACCATTACTGAATACATTTTTTTGGCTAACGAACATTTGGAAACGTATAACGCTGGACACACATTAAATACATTAATTTGGATGTATATACCATGCTATTCGCGAATACATGCATTTAACAATTAAGCACTAGACAAAAAGACTTGAGAAAAGTATACAAACATCAACGTAGAAATGATGAGTAACATTGAGACACAAAGGCTGAATAATATTATATAATATAGCATAGAGACTTAATAGCATACAGCTCTAAACGAATAAACGCAAAAGGATGTGAAGCTTTAAAACACAAAGGCAGGGAAAATAGATAGAATATATTGATTACAAAGGATAGATAGAATAACGGCACAGATATAGGTCTGGATATGATACAGGTGAGACGGGGCAGAATAACTGCAGAAAAATGACAGGACGGAATATTCGGCAAACATATTGCAGAGGACATTATAAAAATTATACTATATATTGCACAGATATCGGACACTACAGTACGTGCTGTACAAAGAAGATAGGTCAGGGCCGTAGAGAATATTCTTCACAGACATAGGAGAGGACAGAATATCTGCACAAAGATGGGACAGGACAAAATAACTGCACAAAGACGGGACAAGACAGCAGAGAATATTCTTCACAGACATGGGGAGGACAGAATATCTACACAAAGATGGGACATGACAGAATAACTGCACAAAGACGGGACAAGACAGGAGAGAATATTCTTCACAGACATAGGAGAGGACAGAATATCTGCACAAAGACGGGACAAGACAGCAGAGAATATTCTTCACACTAATAGGAGAGGACAGAATAACAGCACAAAGACAAGACAAGATAGCAGGGAATATTCTTCACAGACATAGGGAGGACAGAATGTTCTGAAGAAAAATAGTAATAGACAGAACCAGCAGCCCCAGGGTACCTGAGATTGGGGAACGTTCCACTCCGCCTGAGCACCACAAATCTAATGTCCCCCTCCTTGAGGCAGTAGGTTCTCCAACACTTGACAGTCCCAGAACGCTGTATTGTTGAGTAGTTCGAGGCTCCAAAATAGGTGAAGGGTATATTAGGGGACTGATTTGTTAGAGGTATTGTCGGCATATCGTTGACCCACGACGTTGTTTCTGATATCACTGAAACATGATTAGGAGCGGCATTGGTATTTGTCTTACCATTCGTCTCTTTGAAGACGTTGGTGGTGGTACCAGTAACATGTTCTATTGGCAGGGGTTGATCATTTTTTCAAAACTCCACTGGACACAGGTCCAGTAAACTTTCAAAATCCAATTGACCAAAATTTAATTTCACTTGACCACAATTAACAATTTGGCTTCTTTTGCAAATAACCTTAATCAATTGGTAGCAATTGCATTTCTATTTCATCATCAAAATACATATACCAAGCATCTCAGTAGTTTGGCACTACTGCACTACGGTAAAGTTTAATATATAGTGGATATATACTTGACGGACCGGAGAATTCCACTCGACCCGGGCGTCGGGCATGGTATTTTTCGACCCCTGATTTGGAATGGCGGATTCGACGTAAAGCACTAAATATACTATCTTTAATATGACTACCGAAAAGAAGTATATTTGGGATGATAGATTCGTAGTAAAGGACAAATTCTAGTATTTTCATGAGACTCCACAGACAAAAAGTACTAGAATGTGTACTTTAGTTAAAATATGGAAAACCTAAATACAACATTCTCTATATAAAATTCTTTAGAATAATACCAATAATAATAATAATGAAGAAATAGATATAAATCTATTTCCACTCATTCAATATTCCTGGCAGTATCAATTAATATTGTCGAACATGTTGATATAATTATGCAATACAAGTATCTGAAAATGTTCATTTGATGGATATTTACCTCCACAGGTAGGCTGGCTCCCTGGTCAGCGACCCGTCCAGCCGACAAGCCCTGACCAGATTGCCGGACACAAGGTAGGTGTTGGCGTTGCAGGTGTACACGGCATCTTGACCGGGGAACATCTCGGTGGTAGTGTTCAACAGTACTGTGTTGTCACCTGTGCTGGGGGCGGTCACTGGGCAGGTTATATCTGCGAGTAGTGAGTGAGTGAGTGAGTGAGTGAGTGAGTGAGTATGGTTTTATGCCGCTTTAAGCAAAGTTCCAGCAATATCACGGCGGGGACACCAGTAATGGGCTTCACGCATTGTACCCATGTGGGGAATCGAACCTGGGTCTTCGGCGTGACGAGCGAACGCTTCAACCACTAGGCTGCCCCATCTCCCCGATATCTGCCGGAAAAGACAGAGGATTCAGATTGGATATAAGAGGATGTAATACCCATAGATGTCACATGCATAAAAATATGCATGTTTGATTCCATTTATAGCACACTCGTATCCTAAGGTGAGTTCATTAAATAATACCCGTGAAGATCCGGGTTAGAATTGATCTTCAACAAACCATGCTTGTCGTAAGAGGCGACTAACGGGATCAGGTGGTCAGACTCACTGACTTGGTTCGCACATGTCATCGTATCCCAATTGCGTAGATCGATGTTCATGATGCTTGTCACTGGATTGTTTGGTCCATACTCGATTATTTACAGACCACCGTCATAGAGCTCGAATACTGCTGAGTGTGGCGTTAAACAAACAAAACAAACAAAACCCCTTAATCAAATATAGTATTGCTGTTGTAACACTATATGGTTCAACCGCCTCCGTGGTGTAGTGGTTAGAGCGTCCGCCCGGAGAGCGGAAGGTCGCGGGTTCGATCCCCGACCGCGTCATACCAAAAGACGTTAAAATATGGTACTTGTTGGTCCCTGCCTGGCGCTCGGCATTAATGGGTACAACAAGGACTGGTCGGCTCGGAGTCAGTATAATGTGTCTGAGTGGGGTATTCATGCTTCACTGCGGCATGGTATCTCAGTGGGCTAGCACTATAAAACCAGCTTAAGTCTGGGCTAGTACAAGCAGCCGCACATACACATACACACGCATGCACGTCGTCATATGAGCGAAATATTCTCAAGCACGACGTAAAACCCAATTTCACCTCACCTCACCTATATGGTTCAATTCCTAAATTTCATGCTTCAAATCTTGAAAATTACATTTGCCTGCAAGGTGGATGTTTCGTATTTTCAATTTACACATAAAAACCAACAAAAACATTGATCACACGAAATTTCCACTAAAGTTAGATTCTGCGACCCATATACATGTATTATCATAAGTATGTGTGTAAGAATCAGAACGTGAGAAAAGTCAGTAATGTTTCCACATGTCCATCATAAAACTTATTGAAAGCTGCGCTTGGAACATATTTCAAGGACAACCAATTTGGAGATTTAACTTTAATCCAAGACTAGGTTCAGCAGAAAACTGTTCTGTTAAAGGATCTGTGACTACATACAGGCTGCCCTTCCTGGGACCAACCGTTCGACAAAGCGACATCAGCACTAAGACCCTCGTGACTCCTATTTCTAACCATTATAATATGTAGGCTTAAAGTAGCTTTTTGCTGTCCTCCATGAACCACCTTCGCAAAGCAAACTCATCGCTTAGATTATTAAATGTAAGGCAGTTACTACGGTCTTAATCCTAATAACGCTTTGTGCAAGGTGGTTTCCCATCCAAATTTGATATAATGCACTTAAGGCGTCAGTTCATTTAGTTAATTCAGTTTAGAAAATGTTCATGTAAATATAAAATCCAAAGAAGCAAGATTACTTTAATAAGAATTGGTGAGCTACCCATTTATAAAAAAATATTGGTGGACGAGATGGTATTCCACGTCAACATCGCTTTTGTAAGAAATGTAAATCAAATTATTTAGAGGATGAATTTCATTATCCATATAACGTCCATTAAAGAATTACATTTTAAATACTTTGAAAATATAATTATGTACATTAATGAAGATGTCATGATACATAATCTTCAAAATGATAATCCAACTCATTTACTGTTCATCTCAAATTATGTCAAAGATGCCTTGATTTTGCGCAATTTATTTGTTTGACTGTAAGCAACTCATAAATGTATTTCATATGTTAACTTTGTACGTGGGCCGAAGGCCTTTCTACTGAATAAAAGATCCAATTGATTGAAAATTGAGTTCTGTTTAACGGTTCATTTATTTAACGATGCATGCAACGTTCATCACTTTAAAGATCAAGTATTCAACAGCTACAGTTTTGCGTCATTAACAGTGATCCATACCAACCGTTGAAGTCGCAGTTGCCACAGGTTGCCGGGCAATCGCTGCTGTAGGCACCGTAGAGGCTGCACATGTTTGGTATACCGTTCAGCACAGCACTGCAGTCGTCACGGCGATCTTCACAGACTCTTATCTCTGTACAAAAACACCAGACCCGTTATTTGAAGCCTATATATGTTTGTTATGTCTTTGGAGATTGGCCAGTCAATAACCAGAAGTACTAACCCCACTTGATACCCTTTGTCGTAGGAACAGCGATCTTGGATTTTCAAACACCCCTCTCTCATATGTCACAAGAACATTCATTTACAGAGATCCAGTAATTGGCACTATTGTGTATTTAGTGGTGTTAATTGATGCCAAAGCACATTTATTTAAAAAACCCATGTTCGTGAATATATTAATCAAATATGTAGCAAAACATCTCACAAAGGTTTAGCCTCTATGGTTTGACGCTTAACCTCAACATGCTGACGTTTGAAGTCAGTTCCACATATCATAAAACATATCATAATTTATCTTCGCAACCTGGTTATGTCTGCCAAACGCTTTGCATATTTGTACTTACCACGTGTTATTTTCATAAGACATGTGTGATAAAGCTATCAGATACTGTAAAATTTACGGTGTGATAAATTCGTTATGATGTCATTCTCTGGTAGCCTAATGCACATGTATGACACCATATACGGCGACTTTAGTAACATACATGCTTGTCTTCATATATACTACCTATAACAAGTTTAGACTCACTTAAAACACTCACTATATGTTATGTATATACATGTGGTTACATCGAAATGAATTTCTCCACTAATTTGGGGGAACTAACTGCAAACCTTATGGAGATGAATTGCACGAGGATCATGCGTCAACTTGCTGAAAAGCATGTGCAAATATCGTGCATGTGAACAGCTGCGTTTTGGTGTAAAGTTTTATTAAGAATTCACCAATTTACACTGAGATTCAACATTTACTGAACTCATGACAATAAACTTTTCAATGTTACGAATTTGTTTTACAATACATCAGTTCATGTGTAAACAGTACCCTTAAACTGTATAGAATATTTTGTAAAATCTAGTTTAGATCAGTTGACTGAAGTAAGTGGCTACATTTACACTAGTGAGTCTAAACTTTTGATGGGGAGTATATATCTACACATGGGACTTAATTATCCCCCTCCTAAAACGAGGGAGGAGGCTAATTGAGTGACGGCTATTGTCTCGGGAACGTATCCGCAGGATCATGGTGGCATGAGGAGATATTGTTGGTTCGTCTCTATGATGTGTTATGAGTGACGGCTGTTGTCTCGGGAACGTATCCGCAGGATCATGGTGGCATGAGGAGATATTGTTGGTTCGTCTCTATGATGTGTTATGAGTGACGGCTGTTGCCTCGGGAACGTATCCGCAGGATCATGGTGGCATGAGGAGATATTGTTGGCTCGCCTCTATGATGTGTTATAAGTGACGGCTGTTGCCTCGGCATCCGCAGGCTCATGGTGGCATGAGGAGATATTGTTGGTTCGTCTCTATGATGTGTTATGAGTGACGGCTGTTGCCTCGGGAACGTATCCGCAGGCTCATGGTGGCATGAGGAGATATTGTTGGTTCGTCTCTATGATGTGTTATGAGTGACGGCTGTTGCCTCGGGAACGTATCCGCAGGCTCATGGTGGCATGAGGAGATATTGTTGGCTCGTCTCTATGATGTGTTATGAGTGACGGCTGTTGCCTCGGGAACGTATCCGCAGGATCATGGTGGCATGAGCAGATATTGCTGGTTCGTCTCTATGATGTGTTATAATACGTCCCCGATGCAATTGCACTCATAAACATCACAGAGACTAAGTAACAAGTAGCCAGCGACCTGGTTGAACAGGAAGGTATAACTCATTTGTCAAGTCTGTAATTTTTGGCTGGAGGGACAGCAGCAATAGCAAGCAGTCTACATTATACTCACGCACACACTGTGGCTCGTTTCCAGAGAGGGCGCCACCTGTCTGACAGTTCCTGACAAGATTCCCGCTCTGCAGTGTGTACCCATGGTTACAGCGATACACGACATCAGCAGCCACGGGCACCTGGGGCTCGGAAACCAGCTGGACATGATGGTCAGTCGACGGGCTGGGGACACTACAGGCTCCATCTGAGCAAATAGTTCAACATGGTTACTTCCCGGGTAAACATACTGGTCATATTAAGTTTCATATACCCAAAATAAGGTTGTTGCTTCGCATTGCTAAGGACCCGTGAAGATCCGGGTTAGAATTGATCTCCAGTAACCCATGATTGTCGGAAGAGGCGACTAACGGGATCGGGTGGTCAGGCTCGCTGACTTGGTTGACACATGTCATCGGTTTCCAAATGCGTAGTTCGATGCTCATGCTGTCGATCACTGGATTGTCTGGTCCAGACTCGATTATTGTAAGCTGGAATATTGCTGAGTGTGGCGTAAAACTAAACTCATTCACTCACTTGCATTGTTAAGAATATACTTGGTCACATATAATGCTCTGACTAAAGTCGATGTGCACGCTGTGTATGAGTGAGTGAGTGAGTTTGATTTTACGCCGCTTTTAGCAATATTCCAGCAATATCACGGCGGGGGACACCATAAATGAACTTCACACATTGTGCCCATGTGGGGAATCGAACCCGGGTCTTCGGCGTGACGAGCGAACGCTTTAACCACTAGGCTACCCCACCGCCCCACGCTGTGTATGTGTATGCCTTACATTAGTGTGCAGATGAACTTGTTTTCTTTTCAGGTTATCCATAACAAATAGGTCATAGTCAAATTCAAATTGATCTTGTCACAAATAAAGTCTCAAAAGTGAATTGCTTTTTCATGTATACTTACACATGTATTCTACCCTAAACAAAATTGGTTTGGATCATGATTAATGTGGTGAATATTTCATGCAGTAAAGATAAAATTAAATAAAACTTCGGATAAAATTAAGAAATAAAATATCACATGTTCTATATATTTTTCGTCGTTCGGGATACAACAGTGTCTTCAACCTACCCAGACACTTTGGTAGGGGGCCTCCCAGGTTACCGTCCGGCTGACACTGCATCCTTAGCTGACCAGACACCACGTGACCAACGGTGCACTCATACACAGCGTATGATCCGATTGAAACTTGTGCTGCCGATACACGCCGAGTGTTATCTTCCTGTAAAGGCTGGGGTACGTCACACTTCGTTTCTGTTGGAAGAGATCATTGGATAGATAATAATGTAATCATATGTGAATACACACAGGGTACATGGGATCATGGTACAGTCGTGTTCATAAGGCTCATCACCAGTTTGCTCCCTTGTCACACAAGGTTCAATTTAACTACTACAATAGTTTCAACTTGGGTTTGTTTGTTGTTTAACGCCATAGGCAGCAATATTACAGCTATATGGTGGCGGCCTGAAACTAATCTAGCAATCTAGTGATCAATATCATGAGCATCGATACGATGACATGTGTCAACCAGGTCCGGAGAGCCTGAACACCCTATCCCATTGGTTACTGAAGACCAATTCTAATCCGGATCTTCATCTTGGGAACAAATTATATCAATAATCATTTCTTTGTGAACAAAACGAAAAAATTTACATCACAAATATCATTGGATAGATAATGATGTAATCATATGTGAATACAAACAGGGTACATGGGATCATTAGGCTCATCACCAGTTTGCCCCCTTAGTCCCCTTGACAACGACTTGGACATCTCACAGGAAGTGCTGCCTAGTCAAAGCCACCAAGAACATTTTGGAGAAAGCATGAAAAGTTTGGCCTTCTGCATTACCCAGGGTGTGAGAAGAACTGTGTGTCTGGCGACATGTTATTGTGAGTGAGTTTGATTTTACGCCGCTTTTAGCAATATTCCAGCAATATCACGGCGGGGGACACCAGAAATAGACTTCACACATTGTACCCATGTGGGGAATCGAACCCTGGTCTTCGGCGTGACCAGCGAATCTTTAACCACTAGGCTATCCCCCCGCCCCCGCGACATGTCATATTTGGGATGACACTTTCTCAGTTAAGTACAGATTCTTGTGCACGTTGGGTTGAGTCCCATCCGGGATTCAACTCCATCTTGTCGGCGCGAGACACTCTAGCGCCAGCACATAGAGTCAGCGGTCTGCAACCAGCCACCCAGCTTCCATAAAAATGGAAATCTGACAACTGGTCGTCCATATAATGCACTTTGTAGAGGCTACCAAGTTTAGTTCGTTATAACCGTATTTCGATATACACATTTCGACCAAAGTGGATGGGACCCCAAAACAATTCGTTATATCCGTTCGTTTTAAATGCCGTTTGCTGTACTTCAGGAAGTGTATTTACTGGGTTTCTGTTTAAAACCTTTCTAGAAAACCGTTCTAGTTTCCGCGCTGTGGAAACGTTCAACGTTTTGTCCAGAGCCGGATACTGCTCAAAGTAGTGTTTGTGTGAACAAAATTCCCCTCAATGGTTAATCCCATGTATTGTCTGGTCGATGTTGACAATTCTGTTTTTCATTTATTTACTAGTACGTCTGTTCATATCTTATATAATGCATGTCTTATCATCCATGTTATTACCATCTCCTGCAACAAAACCTTGTCAATATCTTGACGGCATATTGATTTTCACAGCGTACTTGTACTGTAAATATTGTCCCAAGACCTTAAAGATTTGGCTGAGAAGAGATTCTGTAGTACTGTCATAGTGCAAACAACTTGAATACATTTCTGAGACTTCGTTTGGTAAAAATAACTAATTGCTTTATATGTTATGTCGATATGACCTACAATTCCATCTCCTTTGTCTGTTTTTTCATAAACAGAGTAACAAAATCGGCATTTTCCCGGTAATTATAATCCACTTCCGGTCTGGACTCGTAAGTCCTTGTTCAATCTAAACTGAGGGGCAAAAGAAACGTCCCCAAAGTAAAATTGTAAAAAACATTTCTTCTGTTTTCGTTATGATGGAAATTTATTTAGGAACACATCTCCCGAACGCATCCCCGCGTCTCACAGAAAGGAAATCCACGTGGAGTTTTTTGTAAGCATGAAAATTGCTTTTATTCACGTTTTTTGCATGCTTCTGTGGAAATATACCCGTATGAGAGTACAGTATAAAAATTATGCTCGACTGTTCGAATTCATCACTTCAATACGTTGGACACAAAGAACATGCCTCGACTCACGGCAGAACAGAGAGAACGAGCTATTGGGATGTTGCAGCTAGGTGCTTCTCACAGTCACGTTGCAAGAATCATGGGTTGCAGCAAGAAAACCATCACCAGACTGATGACACGCTTCAGAACAACAGGTCGGACTGCAGACAGGCCTAGGACAGGGAGACCACCCATAACCACCCCTCAGGAAGACCGCCATTTACGGGTGCTTCACTTGCGCAACAGATTCCTGACTGTGACGTCATCAGCAACAACCAGCCTTACCCATCCAGTCAGTAGAAGGACCATATCCAGACGACTCCGCCGATTCGGTATCAGAGCCTACAGACCATTCCGGGGCGTGACGTTAACGCGTGAACATCGACGTCGTCGATTGGCTTGGGCACGTAGAGTTCGGCAGTGGCAGCCGCGGAACTGGCGCCGGGTACTCTTCAGTGACGAGAGTCGCTTCCAGTTGAACAAAGCTGATGGTCGGGTACGAGTCTACAGACGTCGGAACGAACGCACAGCACGTTGTTGCGTTCCGGAAGTTGAGACGTTTGGCGGCGGTAGTGTGATGGTGTGGGGTGAAAATTTGTGGCGAGAGGAAGACTGACTTGTTGGTGATAGAGGGAAACCTGAATGCCCGTCGATACATTGATGTTGTTTTACGACCTGTCGTGTTACCCTTCCTCCAGCAGAATCGAGGCGTGTTGTTTCAGCAGGATAACGCTACTCCCCACACTGCTGTTGTTACCCGGAACTTCCTGAACAACAACAACGTAAACGTCGTTCCTTGGCCAGCAAGATCCCCCGATTTATCACCTATTGAGCACCTATGGGATCATCTCGGCCGTCAGGTGAAGCAACGTCAACATCCCCCACAGACAAGAAACGCTTTGGCTCAAGCTCTACAGGAAGAATGGCGTCGCATCCCACATCACGTGATCAGACGTCTTGTGCACTCTGCACGACGTCGTGTGGCAGCATGTATCGCTGCAAGAGGTGGACACACTCGCTACTGAGGAGTTGGACACTCAAAGACACTCTGTCAGTACTGATGTGCATGTGTTGTCATGATCGAAAACCGGACATTTGAACCTCCTGTGAAAAACGTCACAAAAACTCTACTTACAGCAAATTGTTTCAATTGTTCTGTAATGACAGTCTGCATAATATGTTCAAAAATTATATCAAACATTTCAACATTGAATTGCACGTGTTTGTATCATTTTATGATACAAAAATGATCGGGGACGTTTCTTTTCCCCTCAGTTTATTAATGTCACAACCTTGCACCGGAAGTGACGTTGATACCTGTCTGGGCAATGGCCTTGACCCACGTTAGGTAATATATTTATGTACAAAAACATAATCGACATGGTCAAACAGAGACCGGTCCATATCATCTGCAGGTGAGGATAGATTTGTCATGACATTGGCTACGACCGCCGCCCAAAACCAACTACGTCGACAATGACGTATCACCGACCGACTTGTGCTTAAATGTCAGGGGAGGTGTGGTAGCCTAATGGTTAAAGCGTCTGCTCGTCACGCTGAAGACCCGGGTTCGATTCCCCACATGAATACAATGTGTGAAGCCTATTTCTGGTGTCCCCCGTCGTGATATTGCTGTAATATTGCTAAAAGTGGCGTAAAACCATACTACCTCACTCATTCAAACTTAAGTGTCGGGGCTGGTCTAAGGTCTGGAATCATTGGCCAAGTTTACAATTTGGATTTCTTTATGTAATATCCAAGTTTTAATGAAGAATGATCACAATGTTTATAGATATACAACTTCCTTTATTATGTGAAAGGCGACGTTTCGACATAAATTCTAATGTCGTTGTCAAGCAAGTAATGCTTGACAACTTGCTTGACAACGACATTAGAATCCATGTCGAAACGTCCCCTTTCACAGAATAAAGAAGTTGTATATCCATTAAAATTGTCATCATTCTTCATCCCCTCAACTTCTGAAATGCACATCAAAGAAGTCAAGTTTTAAATGTATATTTTTTACCTGTCACTTCAATTTAAAATTATCATTGACCCCATCAGATTCTCATAAAGCGCCGCGAGCAATCACTTAATGTTTTAAGATGACTTATGATTATTATTTCGTCAACTATAACTATGCAGCATACTGACCTGTACACACAGGAGGATTCCCCAGCAATGACCCATCAGAGCTGCACGTCCTCTCCAAGTCTCCATCGGTCAGAGTGAACCCTTGTAAACAGCTGTAGTAGGCCTGTGTACCCACGTCCACGAGGGCGGGGGACTCGCGGATGACGTTACTGGCTGGGGAGGGCAGGGTGGCGCTGCACTGGATTTCTGGAACAAAGGTTAGACTGTAAAGTAAGAATGCAATCAGGAACCGTTGTGTCGAACTCTGATATGTCACGGTTGTCTCGAAGTAAAAGCTTGGTCCCAACGTTTTCCTTTTTAGTAATCATTTTGTGTATGTGTCGAACCTTTGATAACTCGAAGTGTTTTTGTATATCCATTCAACTTCGGGCCAATATTTTTTAAGTATAGGAGAAAACACGCCCCCTCGGTTTTGGTAGATTTCCCTCCTCCCAAGGTTTTACATTCTCTACCAAAACCGAGGGGAAGTGTTTTCCCTAACATATAAACCTTCAATGATGGATAATTATAATATAGATGATCATTTAATGAAGCTACAATAACTGAAGCGCAAGTAAAATCAATTTAATGACAGTAACCATAAATAGATAATTCAAGCCTAACGTCCTCGTCGGCTCGTTGGCCGTGAGGTAGAGCGTACGCTTTATTAACCTTGCTTTTTGCTTTAGAAAACGTTTGCACTTTGAAATTCATCTTGGACGATATTTTTCAATTTATTGCAAACACTCATGTATCATTTGAATGTTGATGTTCATATAGAGTTAGGAAAAAATAATTACAAAAAGTAAAACTTGGGAAGAGGTCTTACTTACAAAAAGTAGAACCTGAGAGCAAACAAAAACCTCAATTGCGGTTATTCCAGGAAAACAAGAGATGCTTAATATAGTGAGAACCACATTTCAGGTTTATATCTGTAGAGTAAACCCTTGGTAGAGTTTCTGATGAACTTGATGAAGTTGATGAAGCTTCTGGAGTCTTTTGCTTCGTTAAAAAAGGGGAGCGAACTCTTGCCTCTCATATGAAATTACAGAAAATAACAGTTGTGTGGAGATCTTTCTTACCCTGTAAAATCAACCTATTTTGGAAAGTTGACCATTGTTGCAGTGAGGTGAATATTATCATCTATAATCGATACTTTTGTATTATACTACCTCTGCATTTGTACTGTCACTCTATTGTGTACTGACACTGTGATACCTTTGTAGTTTTTTTGTTTTTTTTAATAAATACATTTTTATTAATTATTGTTAAAACAGTTATTGTTACATTTTTTCAACACGTAACTCTGAGTATGTAAATTAATTTCTCTTTGAAATCATCACGAAGTTACCTACACAAAGTGTTTATTTTTTAAAGATATTTACCTGACTAGGTTAATTATTTTATCTTTTAACGTTTCATTAAGTTACCTCCACAAGATTCAGTTACATAGCTAATCCCTAATTAGCTAGGGTTAATCCATTCTATCAGATAGGGGAGTATGATGTGTTTTCTTTGTTAATTACCTACTCCACTGTCTCACAACTGGGAGTCTCACAATTGGGTTTACTTGTGTGTTATTTGTAGTTATTTGTGTTAATTTGTACACTTAGTTAATTTTAGTACATAATTGTTAATCATATCCCATATCTTTGTTTGTTGTTTTCACACAAGGTTCAATTTAACTACTACATTAGTTTCAACTTTGTTTGTTTGTTGTTTAACGTCACACTCAGCAATATTACAGCTATATGGTGGCGGTCTGAAAGTGATCAAAGTCATGAGCATCGATACGATGACATGTGTCAACCAGTTCAGGGAGCCTGACCACCCGATCCCGTTAGTCGCCTCTTACGACAAGCCTGGGTTACTGAAGACCAATTTTAATCCGGATCTTCATCTTGGGAATCAATTTATATCAATAATCATTTCTTTGTGAACAAAACGAAAAAATACACTTCACAAATATCGAATCTATCTCTACGACTCACACTTGACGTTATGTAACTTGATGACATATTAGCAAAAACAAATCCAGTAGTGTAACCCTTTTTAAACACTCAACTACTTTATCAATAAATATGGCACTGGGTGCTTAAAAAATTACTGTTGAGATATATTACATTTCAAAAGTAAGTTCCCCAAGTTTCGCGAAACCTTTCCGTCTCTTCTCCGGCACGACCGCGGTGTCAGCGAACCACTTTTTAGGCGATCACGCGAAGCTACTGCGTCAAGGGCGCAACGCCCCGGAGTCACTGTTCCGCTTTAACAGTCATGCTGTCACATGCGCGGTTTTACTTTATTACTTTCGATATGCGTGGATTTAGCATTCTTGGGTTATCACACTTACATAGATATTAATCTATATTAATATTAATCTATTCATACTACTGATTCGCACGTGAAGATCCGGGTTAGAATTGATCTTCTGCAAGCCGATCTTGTCGTAAAAGGGGATCGAGTGGTCTGGCTCGCTGATACGGTTCATGATTGTCATCGTATATCAGTTAGGTAAATAGAAACTCATGCTGTTGATCACTCGATCGTCGGGTCCAGACTCGATTATTTGCAGACCATATAACCAGAATACTGCGGAGTGCGACGTTAAACAGCAAACAAACAAGCAAAAACAAACAAACAAGCAAAAGGTAGAGGAGAAGAAGATGGGTGGGTGAGGTTGGCCCAGACGTGTGAGCCGCCGGAATTTGCTGTGCAAAGTTACGTCCCTTATGCGGGCCAGGAACCTGTGTTCCATTTTAGCAAAGCTCAATTGCACAAGTCCACTAGGAACGTACTCGTGTGCTCGTGCCGGGCGTTGGGGTAGCCTAGTAGATAAAGCGTTCGCTCGTCACGCCGAAGACCCGGGTTCGAATACCCACATGGGTACAATGTGTGAAGCCCATTTCTTATGTCCCCCGCCGTGATATTGCTGGAATATCGCTAAAAACGGCGTAAAACTAAACTCACTCACTCACTGTGTGGTCCTGCATAATAATGTGTATGTTCATCACGATTGGATGCCGTGTTCCGATGAACAGCAAGGTATTATAAACTTACACCTCCGCAGCACCTACACTCAGAACAATAGCTTTCTTTTTACTTGCATAGAATCCAATATGTTTGATAATAGGTTGTTTCGTTACTGAACTGTACTGACTTATCGACAGCCATTGCTATGGCTTTTATAGACTGATGTTTTCATATGCACTTTTTCTGTTTGAAAAGGCTATAATATTTATAAAAATACAATAAAAAGAATGATCCATCTCTTACCAATCAGAACCAAAGATTCTTCAATTCCATCGTGGAACGCATGTTTAAGAATTCCGGTTCCAATAGGTCAATATTCTTTAATTTTACTTCCTGGTTGCCATACAAGGGTCAACCAGTCGTATCCTATTAGTAATGCACTAAGAATTGATTTGTATATACTAGTCAAGGTGCCAATCAATATTTTGATTAATCACTGACATAAACCGAGGTGCAAAAGAAACTATACCTCTCTGCTGATTTATCATGTGTTCGATTTACAATTGGATGATTAAATTATCGATATTATTAACAAATCACTGTACTGGTGCTATGTCAACTGTTGGTCGTTGTTGACAATATATGCACGTATTTTCGAGGCATGCTTCTGATGAGTGGACCAAATGTCATGATCATCACCACTATCCGTGAGACCAGACCCGTGAAGATCCGGGTTAGAATTGGTCGTCAGCAACCCATGCTTGTCGTAAGAGGTGAGTAACGAGATCGGGCGGTCGAGCTCGCTGACTTGGTTGATACATGTCATCGTATCCCAATATTGCCGATGTGACGTTAAATAATAACTCACTCACTCATCGTATCCCATTTGTGTATATCGATGCTCATGCTGTTGATCAATGGATTGTGTGGTCCAGACTGGATTATTTATAGATAAACTCACGGGCGAAAGGAACGTCACCTCGCTTTTTTAACATGTCACAAAACAACAAACTCAGATTTTGGAAATTTAACAATCATATTTGGAAAATTAATGGAGTTACAACATTTTGAATGATGAAAGTGTGAACTACAGAAATGAATAATCACTTAGTGCACGATAACATTTTAAAGATAAAAAATCCTTTTGGTGACGTTTCTTTCGCCCGCGAGTTTATATATACTCATGCCAATAATGGCTGTCTCCCCACCCTCCCCACCCTGACCCCACACCATACCCTCTCCAATTAAAAAAAGGAAGGGGTGACAACCATTATTGGCATGAGTATACTTTACTATATGGTGCTGGACTTTGACGTTGACGTACACTTCTGACGATGACGTCTCATACGCTTTTAGTGGGGTAAAGGTCAGGGCGGAGTACTGGTTATGGCATGACATGGACGTTTCGCTGTTGGAGGAACTAGGCCACAAACATGGCACAATGAGAACGTTAATCATAATGATAACGATAATGATAAGTGCATTTATAATGCGATTAACTCAATTCACTAGATGGATGCTAATAGCGCTGACAATCTGACTATTATTACCCCGGATAAACCAACCTGTCAGTGAGTTGCTAGGTTATTAGTCACATGACTTATTCCACCGGGTACCCAGTTTCTTCTGTATTTTCACACTGGGGCATCGGAAATGGTATTCAGATGTATCCATGTGGGAGATCGAACCTGCGTTTTCGGAGTGACGAGCAAACACTTCAGCCACTTGGCTAGCCAACCACCCCTCTCAGTCATTTAAGTCGAGAGCGAACCAGGATTCCACGTAAAATAACCCCAAAGTTGATTATCCCAGTGCTGACGTTCCCAACACCGCTGACGTCTCGGATTCAAATGATGTGCGTTTAGACGTCATGCACGTCAGTGTCATTGCTGTGTCAAATCGCACCGTCTCCACAATAACTCTTACGCCAATTGCATGTTGGAAACAGTCCCATCTGAGATGCAGCTTGCCACTAATTTATTCACGCCAGCAAGGAACAATAAACATATTTAAACCTTACGCTAATCGAGTCTTTAAATCACTATTTGCGTGTTAACATCTTACAGTCAGCAATAAAAAAACACCACAACACTAAATACATATTTTATAAATCAGAGGAATTACATTTATCTGTTTGAACGAAGAAAATTAATAACCGCTGTTTATGAAACAAACATTCGTTCATTAACCAAAATGATGGGCATGTTTGCTTTTCAGAGATCGATTATCGTGAAATCACAGCAATTTGAAGGAGTCAAAGAAGTTTGCATCTGTTGACAGATCGTGATCAATATATACCGTGTACACAAAATGAAAACCAGTGGTACTTAGGTAAAGGGCGTTGGGGTAGCTTAGTGGTTACAGCGTTCGCTACTCTCGCACATGTTCGGGTTTAGTTCTCCACTAACAACACGGTTTTTAATGGACATGAAGATGTTCTTTCAAAAAAAAGAGAAGATTTTAAGCTGTTTCTGTCACATGTCAGTCAGTTTTTAAATTTTGATTTTTCTGGCAAAGTCGCGTTCTGATAGGCAATTTAAACCTAGCAGCGTAGCAAATCAAGGACGGGTACTTCGAGATAGCGAGAACTATGAGAAGCGATCGATGGGGTTGTGCTGGATTTATGACCGTGAACAGTAGTGTTGAACGTCAAACACTGTTGTGTCGAAGTTGAAATGACCTAAGTAAATACTTCGAGTTAACAGATGTTCGACACAACCGAAACTTATATACTGGACAAAAATAGTTAGGGATATATGTAAATTTTGAAATTTTGAATAATGATTTATTTATTCATTGACACACTGATAAAGTATCAATCATAAAAATATAAATATCCCTAACTTATTTTGTCCAGTATATGTATAAATACAAATATGAAAAGCCAAGCTTTCGTTTACTTCGAGACAACCATGTTCGACACAGTGGTATTTGCCTGTATGTCACGGCGTGTAAGTTTTATATCTGAGGATACCCGAATCGAGGCAGTTTACAAACTTGAGGGACGGTGGGGTAGCCTAGTGGTTAAAGCGTTCACTCGTCACGCCGAAGACCCGGGTTCGATTCCCCACATGGGAACAATGTGTGAAGCCTTTTTTCTGGTGTCCCCTGCCGTACTATTGCTGGAAAATGGCTAAAAGCGGCGTTAAACTGAACTCACTCACTTACAAACTTGACGTGACCCACGAGCAATGGTATTGCTGATAAACCTAGAAACATGATCAGAGCGAATCGGGATCTGAACCTACAATCACAGGCTTCTGATACGCCTAAAGGACGCAGCTCCGAATAGCGATATGTCCCCCCTCAGACTGAGCCACTCCTGTTCCCAGAAATACAGTCAAACATTGGAACAGAGGTTAATGGGATCTACGTAAATACTTCGAGATATCCCAGGTTCGACAAAGCCGCAATATGGTGACAAAGAAGGAACAAGGAATACGAATACAACCCCCCCAAAAATTAATTAGGAATACGCATATAAGTTTTGACTTCGAGAGAACCGTATGTTCGACACATCCAAATTCGACTCAACGGGGTTTGAGTATATTGCTGATTGCTGTATAAAATACAAGAAAACACCAAAGGCAAGCTTACCCTCACACCTGGGTGCTGTCCCTGTGAGAACCGCCTCCTGGGTACATACTCGAGAAAGATCCCCCACCAGGAGGGTGCAGCCAGGGAGACACGTGTAGGTCACGACTTCGTTATAAGCGACCTTCGACCCAGAGTCCGTCTCTGCATTGTCACAAGGCTTCGGTACAGGAACGTCACATTGGATGGCTGTATTCAGAAGAAGTAACAGTGACGATATAATATTTCCGTGACTTATGTCATCACGCTTATAAGGTTTTGTTAATTTCTGATTTTTTAAAGTAAATATTCCTTCATTTACTGTTAGTTAATACCAATATGTATTACTGACATGGATTCGTGATTTATCGTGACTTATTAAACATATTTCAGTATTTCAGTAAATTTCAATACTTCGTTATAAACGTATAATCCAGTGTTTTTGTGTATACAGTCATTCATCGAATGTCGATCAATCAATTAGTCAATCACCGTTGTGTAAATATACTCATGACAATAATGGTTGTCACCCCCCTCCCAACCCAACCCACCACACACACACACCCCACATCCCCTCTCCAATTAAAAAAATTGAAGGTGGTGACAACCATTATTGGCATGAGTATACTTCGATTTATCTGAAGTTCGACACATGAATAAATAGCGAATACGAAAAAATGAATGGATAGCAAAGTGCCATTTGAAACACGTTCAAATATCAACATTATGAAATGATATATAAAATCATAGGCGATCAATTGACATACAATATTCACATTCGGAAAATGGTACTACGAAGATAAATCGTGTTTTATTAACATAGTTTGCAGATTTTATGAGCGCTTGGAGGAATTATAATCTCACACTGTTATATAAATCACTGCACGGCATCTCCTTGGACAAGAACGGATAAGACGCCGGATTCTTTCCTGGGAATGGCTCTCCACTCCTCCTGCAGTGCAACGGCGAGCTGTTGCAGCGTCTGTGGCGGCGGCTGACGTTGACGTACGCGTCGATCCAGAGTATCCCACAGGTGTTCAATAGGGTTGAGGTCTGGTGATTTAGAGGGTCATGGCAAGACACTGACGTTGGAATTCTGCAGAAAGTTCATTGTTGCACGTGCAGTATGAGGCCGGGCGTTGTCCTGTTGAAAAATCTGTGTCTGTTGGTCAATAATCGGGAGAAGGTGAAGCTCTAACACGTGGTTGATGTAACGTTGGGCTGTCAGGTTCCTGGAACGATCACCAAGTCTGATTTCTGGTTGTATGAGATGGTTCCCCAAACCATGACGCTTTCTCCGCCAAATCTGTCCACCTGTCGGACGCAGATGGGCGCAAAACGTTTATGACGTCTCCTATACAGACGCTGTCTTCCGTCGTGACGTTGCAAAAGAAAACGTGATTCATCAGAAAACCAGATTCGCCTCCAGTTTTGTAAAGTCCGTATCCTTACGTTGTTGCACCACCTGAGTCGTCGGCGTCGATGTAGGGGGCGTAGTACAGGTCCAACAACTGGTCTACAGGCACGTAAACCCGCTTCTTTCAGACGGTTCCTAATCGTTTGAGCTGACACTCTCCTCAAACCTGGTATTTGTGTGGCAGTCACGGTTGGTAGGGCATGCCGATTACGCAGGTGATGGACCCGGATGTACCGATCTTGAAGGGGGGGTCGTGATTCTTGGCCTTCCACTTCTCGGGCGATCGTTGGTCAAATTGAAGTTGTTGTAGCGGCTCCAAAGTCGGGATATCGTTGTTTTGTGAACATTTAGGTGCCGTGCAACAGTTCCAAAACTTTCTCCGGCTTGAACACGACCAATGGCGATATTTCGGTCGGCAGCACTCAATCGTGGCATTTTTAACACAGCTTTTCGGCGACAAATGAATGAATATAATACGGAAGCACATGGGCTTTTATACACCCCTACATTAACTGCCATTTTCATGATTTGCATGTGTTTTTTTTGTGCGAAGTCACCATGAGGGTCATTTCATGCGTTGTGACGGAATAAGCAATAAAATACACTTATGCGTACAAATGCAGTTGTTTGGATGGTAATCTTCATTAATTACGTGTATCATTTCAATACATTCGAATAAAATTTAGTTTGGAAGCAATAACTTCATTCAAACGAATTTTTCATATCTGAGGACAGGGGTTGCGTTTCTTTTTTGACAGAGTTTATTTACAAAATCTTCCCACAAAACTGCTAGTATCTATCTACCAGAGAAAATTCCAACTTGATGTAATGACGTCTTATGGATACGAACTTATTTTTACTTTTTAACACGTCGTTTCAGAGCTAATTCTTGCTCCTTCATCAGATGATATTCTTTATCATGACGTCACATCTGATGAAGGAGCAAGAATTAGCTCTGAAACGTCGTGATGAAAATTAAAGAGGTTCATATCCATAAAACTTGTCATATATTCATGGTAGTCTAACGTCTTAGTGCCTTTAAAGAACTTTGTTTTGTTTTTGCATTTCACTGATACTTAAAAATCGAAGGTTTTATTTTAAACACGCAAAAAAAGCAGAAACAACTCCCTGCCTACATAAAAATTTGAAAAGAAGAATTAAGATTGACAGTAACACAAGAACAACAAAATACAAATAATAGGAAAAAAACTCACGTCTACATATAGGTGGAAATCCGAGAAGCGATCCCTCTCCAGAACACACCCTGACCAAGTTACCCGTGTCAAGGGTGTGCCCCTCCTTGCACGTGTACATTACGGCGGTGTTGACGGCAATCTCAGTCGTGGCAGAGTATTCAACGTTGTCTTCAGGCGCAGGGACTGGAACGGTACACGACATCTCCGTCCGAAGCGTGCCAACTGAAGAATAACGTGCAAGAGGTTTTGTTAATGAGATGCTAGATACAGTAAACACCTCTGTGTCGAAGATGACGGGACCTACGCAAATACGAGGTATTCAAGGCTCGACACAGTCTACAGTTACGAATACACATGCAATAGTAAGGGATCAAACCTTTTCTTCGAAACAAAACATGTTCGAGACAAACATAAGTTCGACTCATCCGAGTTCGACACAACGGTGTGTGGTTGTAAGTGGGTTAAAATGGTAAAATCATGCTCGTGTTTATTGTATTATAATATTCACCAACGTTTGATTACATTTAAAGGTGGTCATGGATTTTAATCGTTGGTTAAATGTATTGTATGAAATGTAATGTAATGTATAGTTTTGTATGTATTTTACATGATTTGCGGTTATCATGCAAATAAACTGTTGGTTAAGAACGTTATAAATGTGGTCGGATGATCGGGATAATCCGCTTCCTAATGAGTGAGTGAGTGAATTTAGCTTTATGCAGCTTTACCAATATTCCAGCAATATCACGGCGGGGGACACCAGAAATGCTTCACTCATTGTACCAATTCGGGGAATCGACACTAGTCCTTCGGCGTGACACGCGAACGCTTTAACCACTAGGCTACCCCACTGCCAGGTTCCAAATGAAGTAACATGTTCCTGCCTCAAATGTATAGCGATTGATAAAAATGTCTTCTGTTGTTTTAATTTTATCTACCTTAAAACATAGATGTATACTGTCTTGTCCCAGGCAGTTTTTCATAACCGCTTCAAGAAATGCTTAATATTGTGCGTTTTGTTAAACAGTCAGCATTCTCAATGATACCTCGGCATATAACCCGAACATATATACCGACGGTTGATATTATGAGTGTCATATTATCGCGCTACGCTTAAAGCACAATAAACCAAGCCTTACCACCCCATCTGTTCAGTCACCTCTTAAGACAAGCATAGGTTTAGACCATCAGGAAAAAATGTCTAGCCCACTACACCCCTGTGCACCCAATGTTCCTCCCTAAATAAGTGCATGAACGTTCCGTGTTTTAAACCGCTTCTGGAGAGAAAGACTTTTAGATATGCAAGTTGTTGTTACCATGGCGCTCGGCTTTAAGATGAAAACGTAGGGACTGGCCCATTCGGAATCCTATATGAGACATAATTGTATCATTGCATGGAATATCAGTTTGTTACCTATATTGCGACAACTGCGCGCACGTTAAACCACAGTTTTCACCCTATCTGTGTCATCGGGGCGGTGGGGTAGCCCTGTGGTTAAAGCGCTCGCTCGTCACGCCGAAGACCCGGGGTCAATTCCTGGGTACAATGTGTGAAGACCATTTCTGGTGTTCCCGGTCGTAATGTTGCTGGAATATTGCTAAAAGGGGCGTAAAACCCAACCACTCACAGACACACACTCTCTGTGCTATTTAGTTACCGTCACACTGGAGGGCGGTCCCCGACAGGGATCCATCAGCGTTACAGACTCTCCTCGTGTCCCCGGACAGGGCAGTGTAACCAACAGAACATCGGAACACGGCTGTCCCGCCAACGGTCAAGCCGCTGTGACCTGTCAATACTTCAACATTGCTTTCTGCTGGTGGGGTTGTCACCGTACAAGTCGTTGCTAGGAAAAAGTACAATACAATACCATATAAGTCAAATGTCATCCATTATTTACAGACCGCGGCCATATAGCTGGAATATTGCCGAGGGCGGCGTGAAATTAAACTCACTCACTCACTCACTCACGCTCACTTATCATAACACCAAGGATGGTGTAATCGGAGCAATGCGATAAGCATGCAAAAACAATGTATAATTAATAGAAAATCGTTATAAAATTATGTATTGTGCTCGTCAAAGGCTCCCAAAATTCAATTCATGTTCTTAATATATGTTATTTATAGGCACACCAATAAAACAATGCTAATGACCAACCGATTCTTTCATTGTGTATAACCGTTGCTAATATGCCATGTCACTGGGTGATTCCGAACGTTTTCAACATATTAATGCATTTTACCGAGTCTTACGTAAGATCGTGTTTTTGAATGACATTTAAAGTGAGTGAGTGATTGAGTTTAGTTTTACGCCGCACTCAGCAATATCCCAGCTATATGGCGGCGGTCTGTAAATAATCGAGTCTGGACCAGACAATCCAGTGATCAACAGCATGAGCATCGATCTGCGCAATTGGGAACCGATGACATGTGTCAACCAAGTCAGCGAGCCTGACCACCTGATCCCGTTAGTCACCTCTTACGACAAGCATAGTCGCCTTTATGGCAAGCACATGGGTTGCTGAAGACCTATTCTACCCCGGATCTTCACGGGTCACCTGACATTTAGAAGTAATACACACACGGAAGAGAGTTTTTAGGGATGTCAACTTCTATGAAGAACGTGGGGTTTCGGAGTATATCCTTACTCCTTTATCACATTCCCACCTGATGAAGGAGTAAGGATATACTCCGAAACGTTGTGTTCCTCATAATACAAACCGACATCCATTAAAAAAAAACTCTCTTCCTTACGTAAGATCATATAAATGAATGTCTGTCTTTCAAGTCCAAAATGTGAACTGCCGTTGATTACGCTTGGATGACATTATTGTTATGTTGTTTGCACTGATGTATAACCATACTTGGTGATGTCTTGATGTACCGTTAGTTCTACAGACCTAAATGACAGGTAAGGGCACAGTTTCTTTGTCCATCCTCTGTCTGACAGTAGTTCGTCCCCACGGAGAGGCTGACACAGTCAGGATTAGAGTCCACCACCATACCTGGAACAGAATACAGACGAATGAGGGAGTGAGTATGGTTTTACGACGCTTAGCAATATTCCAGCATCATCACAGCAGGGGACCCCTGAAATGGGCTTCACACATTGTAACCATGTGGGGAATCGAACCCGAGCCTTCGGCGTGACGCGCGTACGCTTTAACCACTAGGCTACCCCACCGCCCCTAAAGAGGATACTGAAAAACAGGATATCGTATAAACAATGAGCAGAACACAGCATAAGCAAAGAAATGAACTTCCCTTATGATGAAAGAACAGAAACCTAGTGTATGTAGGAAACAGACAAACCCTGCCGACAAAACACACTGCATGAGTGCGGAACAGAACACCATGTACTAGTAAAGAAAAGAACACCTTGATTAAGTAAGGAACAGACAAACCATTAACAAGTAAAGACGAGAAAACTCCTGTATGACAAACCCCCCTGTGTAAGTTCAGAAACATTACCCTCTGTAAGCAGGAAACAGAAAGTCTTACTAAAGTATAGAACAGAATATCTTGCGTAAGTTTTACGCCGCACTCAGCAATATTCCAGCTGTATGGCGGCTGTTCGTAAATAATCGAATCTGGACCAGACAATCCAGTCATCAAAGCGTTAGCACCAATCTGCGCAATTGGGAGACGATGACATGTGTCAACGAAGTCAGCGAGTCTGACCACCCCATCCCGTTAGTCCCCTCTTACGACAAGCATGGGTTACTAAAGATCTTCGGATCTTCACGGGTTGCGGAAGTTTGAAGAGTACGCGTACGCTGTTCAATTTGGAAATAGAAAACTCTGTGAAAGAGATGTACAGAACACCCTGATGAAATAGGGAACGGATACCAAAATCATGAATGAATTTCCATACAACACATATATAATACTGTAAGCTCAAAAGGCGTGTCCAGAAGCATTCCAAACGGATAAAGAAAATAAGTATGACACAGTGGAGAGTACTGACTTTAAGACATTCTTACCACTACATACTGTGTTAAGAGCTGACCACTGGCCAGTAGACAGGCAGTATCTGGGCTCAGTCGTGTCGCTGCTGTCACACTTATAGACCACTTTACTTCCGGTCTTGTAAGAGCTGGCGAGGCCTTCAATTATGCTGCTACTGGCGATGGGGTTCGGAGGCGCACACGACGCTGAAGAATATGATCATGAGATGGATATTCTGCGACACGAGCGTTTGATGCTGATCTGTGTGGTTCAGGACTTCCAAGTGCTGGTGCTGATATCGTTCAGTGACTGATTCAGTGACTGGTTCGGACCTTTGAAGTGTAGTGACTGATTAGTGATATTGTTCAGACCTTTGAAGTGTAGTGACTGATAAGTGATATGGTTCAGACCTTTGAAGTGTAGTGACTGATTAGTGATATTGTTCAGACCTTTGAAGTGTAGTGACTGATAAGTGATATGGTTCAGACCTTTGAAGTGTAGTGACTGATTAGTGATATTGTTCAGACCTTTGATGTGTAGTGACTGATTAGTGATATGGTTCAGACCTTTGAAGAGCAGTGAGTGATTAGTGATAAGGTACTGACATTTGAGGAGTTGAAGAGAAGAGACAAATATGTGGCATAGTTCAGACCTCTGAAGTGCAGTGACCAATTAGTGTATATTTCAGACCTTTGGAGTGACTACTTCATGATATAGGTGAAGTCAGCGTTTGGGAAAACTACGGTAGAGACATGACGTTATTCTGATTGATACTATGGTCTTACATTCAGTAGTTCACGTGATGTGCTTTGGTTCAGATCTTGTCAATCGTCGTGATGGTGATATGAGGTATGGTTCAAATCTCACTGATGATAGTAATTGTGAGTGAATATATATTTGTGGATCACAGACCACGCTGATTCAGATCTTATGGGTGCTAGTGATTATGACATAAACTATATTTACGTTTTTAACAGCGACTGTGATGGTGATGCGTATGTTGGTTATATTCGTTGAAGGCACGATTTCACACCACACTTCTCTAAAACTACTGGCAAACAAGGATAAGTTGAGCACCGACCTGACAACTGACCCTTATTACCATGTATGAGTGCCGCCCATTGGCGCTTGCCATTGTTAGCGAAGGGGCCCCAGGTTGCTTGCGATCAAGTGTAG